CCCACAGCCCTCTGGGGACAGCACATCAGGTCCACATCAATCTTGCAGTGAACCTGCACACAGCTCCCATCATTGCAGCTCTGGGTGCCACATGGCTGCAGGAAAAACAGGCCCAAAACAGAAGCCAGCCCATGAGCATCCCTCCGGCGCATCCATCACCCTCCCTCAGGATCCCTGGCTGGCACAGGAGAGCAGACCTGCTCTTATCCCCTCTCCCTGGTGCATCTCGAGGGTGCTTGTGCAGATGCTCTCGTCCTCCCCGCAGAACTCCTCTTTTGGGCTCTTCCAAATCCTGTTACACACTGAGAGCACTTGAAGCAGGGAGCAGCAGCCCAGCTCCAGCTTCACACCCAGGCAGGCATCCGCCTCAGCATCCTGATACCCCTCTCCCAGGAGCAAGTCCCTTGGCGCTCCCATCCCAGCCTGGAATGCTGCCCCCAGTTCTCTGCCCCCAAACGGGTGCTTGTAGGGCGAGAGGAGCTTTGGGGCTGTTCTGGGGCTCTGTGCTTTGGGTATTTCACCCAGTGTTTGCTGCTAAGGGAACAACGGGTGCGTAACCACCAGGGTGTCCTGCCCTGCTGCTGCCGGATGAGCAACAGGAGGGATTTCAACACCAACCAACCTGGCAGAGAAACTCAGCACCCGAGGACAAACACATCAGAGGCTAAAAACAAACCAGCAGCGGGAAGCCACTGAGGTCCCTCCTCTGCTCCTGCCCACCAGCAGGATGGAACCATGGAGCAAAGCCCATCCCAGTGCTTCCAGTGAAGAACCGACCCATTTTCCTGGCTGAAAACTGCTGCAATTGGAGAATTCTCCTTCCCACTGAACGCTCCCCACCACGATGCACCCCTGTAACTACAGATCAATGTGTTTGTAGTTTGCTCTTAAACTAATGTCCATTAATTCAGAGCATTACTGTAGAGCCACAGAGCCAATTCTGCAGCTTATTGTAAAAGAGCAGAAAATGATGCTGCCAGAGTGAGTTTAGAATCCACAAAATAGATCACAGTGGGTGGGATGCAGTTCTTGGGAAAAGAGCATCTTCTTCTCCCTGCTCCCACTCTGCAGCTCGGGGCCTCCCAGTGCTGTGGGTATCATGTTGGTACCTTCAACACGGCTCCCACACCTTCACCAGAGCCTCAGGACCATCATCCTGACCCTGTGCCCAGTGCCAGCAGTGATGCTGCTGCACCCACATGGCTCCAGGGGTGCTGGCTTGCACGGCTGTTGCAGCCAGCATTAGAAAAATCCAGCGTTAGGAGTTCTGGACATGGGAAATCATGATGAAAATGAACCCTGAAACCCAAACCACCCCAAAATGACTTAAAATAGGAGCTAAAATGTGTTCTTCTGAAACAACCTCTTATTTTTAAGCCCGTTCCATGATTTTAAGGGCTGCGGATGCTGTGGCTGGGACCGCTGCTGCGAGTAGGGATGCTCAGCACCACGTTTTCCTCCCATGGTCCATACAGAACCACTTCCACCCACAACACATGCTCCGCACCCACAGCTGCACACGTGCCCCTCACACAGCTCCAAGCAGGCTGCAGGGAGCAGCGGTACCCAGCACCTTCATAAAGCTCCAGCTTAGCAGAACCCTTCGCCCTCGGCCCCACAAGGCTCTTAAGCACAATCCCAAATCCCACCTCGGCCCTGAGCAGCAAGCACCTGGCCCAAGTTAAGCCCAGGCTTAAATCCCTGCCAAAGAGGGGCCATGATAAAGGGAGGACGATGGTTCCTTCAAGCCTCGGGTGTTATCACCTCCTGGGACAAAACACACAGAGGCCAAAACTGCATCTCGGAGGTACCTCAACGTGGCATCGGGAAGATGAATAAATGAATGATCATAAAGCACTTTAGGAGCTTTGGGATGAAAGGCTCCATGGAAGTACAAGGCATTACACGATTTATTATTCATTATTGTTATCACTCAGCGTTGGCTTCTCCTGCACCCTCCTGTACGGCACCGGCCTGGCCTCTGAGGAAGGTTAAATCCTTGCCTGCAGCCAGACAGGTGAGCTTGGCACTGACAGCTATTCCTGGGCATCAGGTGCCTGGAGATCCTGGAAGGCTCACGATGACGGGCTCAAGTCAACGGGATTTGGGCAGCCAGCGCTATGAAGAAGCCCTCAGATGTCCTCCTGCGCCTTCAGGTGTCCAAGGGCCACCCAAATCTGGTCCCCAGCACTGTAAGTCAGGAGTGGATTGAGAAGGGGAGCCAAGAGATGAGGTTTACAGACTCTGCCCTTCTATGTCCCCAGCAGGGCCTGGGACAACCTGCTCTGGATACCTGCAGTGAAGTAAGTCTCACATCTCATGGAGGGCCTGCAGCACCCTCGGCACAGCACCGTGCCATGCACCCACAGTGCCACGCTCCCATCGCCTGCTTGCCCCAAGATTGCTGTGACCAAGGCAAGCCAGAGAAACGCCACAAAGAGGAGATGGAGAGACCAGAGGGGACAGTGGCTGGGGGACACAAGAAGCTACCAGGCACTGGAAGAGCACTGAGGGGACACAGCACAGGCTGTGGGTCCTCTGTGTGCCATGGATGAGGTAAATCTGCCACAAAACCCCATCTCTCTGGTCCTGCAAAACCAAGAAGGGGATTTCTGTTATTTGCTTCGTTTTGACTGGAAATGGCACGGACAGAAAATGATGCAATGGAAAGAAACCCCGTTGTGGGAGAAACCCTGCACATTCCACAGCCACAGCTCACAGTGCCATGGGAACCTCCCCAGGATGAGTGTGGGACCCAGGTATGGGCTCCTGGAGGCATCTGCCCAGATGTGTTGTAACAGCACTGCAAAGAGCACCACACATGAGGCAGAGCCAGTGCCTGCAGCCAGCACACGGGATGGGCAGCACATGGCAAGGATGCTCTTAGAAGGATGATCACTGCCAGAAAGGTACCAAAACACCACAGTGCTGTGGAGTAAAACCTTTCCCAAGCAGAAACATCCCAGGAATTCCTGAGTTTGCCATGGATTTGTGGGTACAGCTACCATTAGCCATGACACAGGGGTCTGGATCAGCCCCTCCCACTGCACTCAGTGCAACCCTGCACTCCTACCTGCACCTCCCCTGCCTGGATTCCCCAGAGCGCAAAAGGAAATGAATACCTTCCCAGCCTCCCAGGGCCTGGAGATAAATCAGAGGCTCTCAGATGTGCCTGGGAGGGCACCAGACAAGGGAACACGCACTCGCCTTGACAGCTGCAGAAAAGGGGCAGAAACACTCAGCAGAAGTCATGAATCCCAGAGATGAGAGATGGAATGAGCAGAGCTCAAAACTGAGCCTGGAATTAGCCGGGGCTCTCCCTGACGGGCACTGCATCGCCCACAGCACGGCTGCCGGGGCTCCTGCCTCACCTGCACAGGTAAATGGGTCTTGAAAAAGAGGCACTGAGAGGCCTGGAGCAGGCAGGCAAAACCCCACACAGGCCACAGAGTCATCGATGGAGCAATCAAAGGACCAGAGTGGCTCTTGGATGGGGTGTGATGGAAAGGGGAAAGCACTCAAAAGAGAGGAGTTAAAAGTTGGGAATAAAGTGATTCCAAAGGCAATGACCCTCTGCTGGCCTCACGCAGCAAAAGAGACATCCCTGTGCCAGCAGACCACGGTTTCACCAGTGCTGTGTTTGGTTGCTGGTAGGACATGGGGCATCATCACCAGCCCCGCTGGGGTTGGTATCCTCCCTGGGCAGAGAGGAGCCACCCCGGGCTGTGAAAGCCCAGCACACAGGTGATGCAGCTGCGCTGGGGCCGGCTCTTCCCAGATCCCTCTCCATTGGAGACTGGATCATCGTGGTGGCTGCAAACCACACGGGTGATTGCAGCACAGCAACAACCGTCCCTGACCCAGTGCGGCGGCACCCGCCGCGTGTCACCGCTGCAGTGAGGACACCAAAACCGACCCGGCGCTCGGCTCCAGCCCAGCATCACCGCCACGTTCTCACTGTTTCTTCTCCCCCGAGTCCAATGGGGTACCCAACCTCTCCTCCCACCGCTCACGGTTTGGCTATGCAGACAACCTGCCCGACCAGAGAGCAGCCCCGCGTGCAGGGTTGTGCAATGCACCAGTGTTGCCTCTCCTCCATATGGGAGAACTTGCTGCATCCTGATCTATTGCCTTTTTGGGTAAGCACTGCCGTGGGACTGCAGCAATGACAGCGGGGAGAGCTCGCGGGGCTGCTACACAGGAGGGGAATAGCTCCGACCTGCAAGCGGGGAGGCAAACTTGAGCCACCAAACCCTTTGTTTCCTTTGTGCATCCTTCAGGGAAATAAACCCATCTGATTGTGCTAAAACTGGATGGCTCAGACAGTAGCCACGTTAATAAGATTACAGCGGAGGTTCAGACAGGAAAGCCACTCACTTAGAAAATCAGGTTATTAAACTGATACTGAGATACTCATAGAAAAACACCCAACTCCCTGGTGCCGGGCTCTTTGCTCCGCTTCAGAGCATAATAACAAAGGAAACCCTCCAAGTAACGCACCCAAACTTTGCAAGGCACCCACCCAGGCGCTTTGGTTCCCTGTTTATGAAGAAGCCCCCTGGCTCCTGGGAAGCAGCGCCGCAGGACAACCAGCACGGTCCCTGCATCCCCGGCTGGCAGCGGGGCCCTGGGAGCAAAGATGCTCGGAGCAGGGGGTTAATAAGGGAAGGCGCCTTGCTCCGGGCAGGCAGGACGCGGCCCGTGCCCCGCGGTTGCTGGAGACTGAGAAACAGGCCACGAAGGGTTGTTTTAATGAGAGAACAGAGCGTTCCACCGCCTCCCTGCCCCTCTCCTCGTCCCTGCTGCCGGTGTGGGGTGCGCTTTATCACCCCGGGATCCATGCAACAAAGCCCGGCCGAGCCTGCGCCCTCCCCGCGGAACGGCCGCCGCTGCCCGGAGAAATCACAGCCCTGCTCTGCGGCCGCGGGGAGCGGCACCGCGGAGCCCAACACAGCCCGAGGCCCCCCCATGCCGGTCCCCGGCCCGCTGCGGTCACTCACAGTACGTTTTCCTGGTCAGCTCCTCCACAACTTCAGGCTTTAACTTGCTGTTGGATTTCCCCATGGTGGCCGGCAGCACCGCGCCCGGCCTCACTGCGGGGGCATCGGGGGCGCCGCGGAGCCTCGCTGCCAGCACCCGGCCCGGCTACATCCCGCGGCGGGGCCGGGGCTGGGGATAGGGATGGAGCGGGATGCAGGGGGGTGCGGGTCGGGTCTTTGTTACCGGGGCTCGGCCGCAAAGCGATGGGCGCGGGGCCGCGCTGTGTGTGCGTGTCCCTGGTTACGCGCACCCTCCGCCGCCAGGCGCGGAGCGGCCGCGGCCGCGCTGCGGGAGCGCGGAAGGGGGAAGCGGAGAAGAGGAAGGGGGGGGAAGCGGTGAGCCCCGCCCCGCGCTGCGGGATAGGGATGGGGGGAGTGGAAAAAGGGGTGGGGGGGGGTCTGGCACGGCCCCGCTCCATGAATCGGGGGTATTCCTGGTGGGGGGAGGATCCCAGACACACGTACCCCGAGCTGCTCCGCTGGGAGGAACGGGAGGAAAATGTCGGGAAGTGTGGGGGGGACGATGGGTGGCAGGGCCCCGCTGCTGAGGGGTGTCCTACCGGGGGGGTTTGGGGGCAGGAGGATGGGGAGAGGGGAGCTGGTGGTGGGAGCACACAGCTCCAAGCAGGGCTGAGCTCAGGGCCTGGGGATGGAGTGACCTTGGTGAGACACCAACACCTTCAGCTGGAGGAGAAGCATCTTCCGAGTCCTGGCAGCCCCCAGCTGAAGGCAGGCCTGTGCTGCGCACCCCAGGGTGCTCAGGTCTCACTGTGAAACAGAGACCAACCCCAAAACCCCGCAGACTGAACCCACAGCAGGTTTGTGGCACAGCCAGGAAACCATGCAAGTGCTAAAAGCAGCAGCACTCAGCTCTTTTTCACCTCAAAACCATGCAGGGCTTTCTGCCTCTACAAAAGCCCTCCGAGGGCACACATTCATTAGCTGTACCGATGCAAACGATAAATACAGTTTTCTCCCCGCCTGTGTTGCAATGAAGGCCCCACTGGAGCTGCCCGGGCATGCCTGGACTTCTGTGGGTGAAGCCAAGGAGGGAAAAGGCTGTGCTTGGATACAGTCAAACCCGTCTGCATGGCTGCAGAGAGCCCAACACAAAACACTGGGGGGTTGGCAAAGGAGCAATGATTTAACCCTGATTTCTACCAGCAAACGGTTGTTTGATGCTCGCTTCTCCAGGGACACGTTCCCCAGGTGGATGCTTCTAAAATGCATCCTCCTGTTTAACGCATCCTCCCACAAATGAGCTCATTAAGGCAGAAAAGTATAAATCACCCCATCAGCACCCAGCACCAGCTGTCCCCCGCGGTGTGCTGGTGCTGGACATGGGGGATCTGCAGCACAATCAAGGCTCCTGCCTTCCCCCCAGCATCCTCCCCAGTCACTACCAACATTTGCACGGCTTTTAGGGATGAAAGCCTCAGCATATTCCAGTTTGAGCCCCAAATATGCTGCAAAAGGCCCTGTGCAGCCCTGTCCATCAGCAAAATACCAGGTTTTTGCAGTATATCCCTTCATCTTGTTGCATCCATGCCTGGCTAGAGGATCAGCAGGGTCCCAAACCCACCCCATGCAGCACACACAATTTTAACACAAGCTGTGCTGCTGCAAAACCGATGTTAAAGGGATTTAATTCTGTTTAAACCCCTACCCTGCCTCCACCACAGGGAACGCTGAAGAGAGAGCTCAGCTCACACAGACGAGAGGAGAAAAGTAATCGGAAACTGTGCAAGCCAGTCACTTTCTCCTCCTAACGATCAGCTTTAACCCCATCATTGTTTAAATAACACCACTGGCGGCATTCTCTGGGATGCAGCGACATTTCTAGAGCCAGAGAAACACAGCCCCAGCCCGGAAAGGCTCTGGGGGCTGACGGGATTGAAATGTGAACAGTGTCTGGGGCACGAAACGCTCCCATCCAGCTGAATGCGGTCAGCGCGCCAGGGAAGGAGCTGGGTTGTTTGCTCAGAGAGGAAAATCCAGCCCAGGGCCAGCCCCTGAGAGCAGCTTTGCTTTGCAGATGCCCCAGTGTCTCCTTTCCAAGGCAGCCTGGGCTGTGCTCTCATCTCCCCACCACCAGTGCCTGCAGCAGGGGCTCCTGGGCTGGCTTCTTTACGAAGCACCCGCGTGTGCATCCGCTGCCTGTTCCCCATATTGCAACGTGCTGTCATGGAAATGATGGCTCCGGTGCTGCGGTCGGGGCAGGGTCGTGCTCATAGGGAAGCTGGTACCTCTCCTACCACGCCAACGCCAGAGGTTGGGATGGGATCTTGAGGATGCTCCATGCTCTGCCTGTAAAAGCTGGGAGCTGCGTGGGCTGCTCTGCCTGCAGGGAGCTTTTCCTTCCTCGGGTTTTTACTTCAAAGTGTTTAATAAACCCACTGAGCTCCTTTTCCCAGGACACAGCGAGTCTGCCAGGCTCAGCCACGCAGCCTTTTGTTCCACGTGGGCTCGCTGCGCTGAAGCAGCATCCTCAGACACCACCACGGGGGTTTTCCCCAACGCATCCTCATTGATGGATCAGGATTCCAGTCACCCCATGGGAACAGCATTGCATCCAAGCAGCCAGGCTCGGTCCCCCCCCCGCTCTAGCGTACTCCCTCTCTGCTCTTCATTGCAAAAGGTCTTTGCTTTCCCCCTTCCTCGCCCTCGCTGATGTGCTCAGACCTGACACATCAGTGGTACAACAGCCCAGCACAGCTGGAGCCATAAGGCAGGGCTGGAAATCAGGGAGGGGATAGTGACCCGTATCCTACACTTGCACGCTTGGATGTGCATTGATGGAGGAGCTGCCCCAGGAAGGGGAGGAGAAATACCACATCCCAGCCCACCCCTTGCCTCTCTCCTCCCCTTCCCAGGGCTGGATGAGGCACCACGCAAGGGCCACTCAAGCGTCAGGCTTCCCCAGCCCCCTTTTCCCTAGTGCATCACTAAACCCACCCATCCATCCCTCCGTTACTGCCATCTCTGGGGCCAGTGTTACCCCACACTTGTGGACATCCCCCTTCTGCATCCACCCACCCAAAAGCAGATTGAGAAGGTGCACGGGAACAAGGACTCTGCTACTGGAGGCAGCGGTGGTGGAGGCAAACAGCCTCTGTGAGCAGAGCACACACAGCCCACACTTGGTGTTTGTTCCATGAAAAAGCCAGGATTTGCCAAGAGCTTTCTTGTGCCAAAGCAGGGAGTTGGTCAGCAGGGGAGTGGTGAAGCCTCAAAGCTTAGGATGGGGAAGGAACGCACACACACAAGATTAATTATATCAGCTACAGAAATAGTTGCTATTTTAAGGTTAATGCTTAAGTGAACTGACTCAGTTCAAAGAAGAGCCAAAGGAATTGTTGGCACTGGTGCTGGCTGCTCCACCAGAGAAGCCGTGGTCACGGCTGGCACGGAGAGCCACCAAGGAGGTGCTTTTCAAAGGGGTTTGGAAAAAGAAATGCCATTAGAATGAGTTCAACATCCCGGTGCCACAGCCACAAATGGGGAATGCAGGAATGCATCAACCAGTGCCAGGGACATCCTTGCCCGGACCTCGGCTCCCCAGGCATCACCCTAATCTCAGATTACAACACACATACGTGTATGGTTCCGATGCGAGCAGCTTTAAATAGGACTCCACAGCTTCGAGCTCCTCATCCAGGGTGGTCCTGAAGCTTTTAAGCTTGACAAGACATGAGCAGTGCTGCTCTTGCTTTGCCCCTGGGCTCACCACAGGCCACAGCAAGCAGCAAGCGCTGGCAGTCACTGCTGTAACCATGTTGATAGCTGAGCTATATGCCACTAAACAAGAAAGCCCTCAGAAATCAAGATTTATAACCCAAAACACCCTGAGACTTGAACTCCAGCAGCCCCACTGGCTCTCACTGTTATAAATTCATCTCAGATAGCACAGCATCTTTGTGTCGATACACAGCGTGGACAAAAAGCAACAGGAATAAAACACACCAGGTTTTTGGGTCCCGGGGATGGTGCCCTGCAGGCTCTTGCCCCAGGAAACCACTGCAGGTATTGAAATGATGGCCAAACGCAATGCAAGGTTTGGAAATGAGCACAACGCCAAGGCTGCACATAGAGCTGTTGTGTTTCAAGGCCGACACGCAGCCGACGCGCTGAGCATTACAATTTGCTACGCTATTAATTTCTCTGTTCATTTCTAGCATATTGTTGTTTCCAAGACTGCATTCCCTTCCCTGCCTCTGGGGCTGCAATTGTCATGCTAATGTGGGAACCTGGAAAGGGTGGCTGTGGGGAACTCGGCAGCAGCTCTCCCGGTTGCCTGCTGCGTGCAGGCAGCAGTTGGCTGAGACAAAGCCAAGCAGGAGGAGGTGTTGCTACCCTTCATGTGGCACATCACAAATCACAGCTGGCAACTGGGAAACCACCTTCTCTCTACTGCTCCTGCCCCCCTCATCCCGCAGCGCAGGAACTGCAGAGCTCAGCCCAGGCACCCTGAGCCTTCAACCAGGGCTCAGTACTGGAAGCAAGAAGCGTGTTTGCTCAGGACAGAAAATAAGAGGCTCCTCATAACAAGCACCAAGCGAGCGCTGCGCAGTTGTGTCTGCCTCAGATAAGATCACAGTCGCAGAGGGAGCAGCAGCTTTTTTGCAGCAGGGACAGCCTGCAGCCTCCATCAGCACTGCCAGGTTGGGAGGCTGCTCCCCACACTGTGAGCGATGCGATGGGCAAGGTCATTTGAGCACCATTCACCCCTTGCTTGGTTTCAGCAGAGGTTTTCACTCAGAAAAAAACCTCTTTGAGAGAAATGTCCCTAAAACTGGAGCAGAACAAAGGAGGTTTTAAATATATCTACATACACACATAAGAACTTTGAAACGAAAGGGAAGGTATGTGGCCACCAGCTGTTTGTCCTGCCCAAAGCTTCACTCTGAAGGTATCTCAGCAGCTTTGTGCTGAGCTGCCAGCACTTGCAGCAGGCGCAGGGGAGCAGTGGTGGTGGTGGTTCTCCTGTTGCCAGCCAGGCAGAAGTCAGCCTCTTTCAAAGGTCACTCATGAGTCATGGTAGTAGATCAGCAGCCTCTTGGTGCACGGAGCCTGCACATACCCCTCACCATGGACACGGAACAGCTCAAGGAGCAGGGTCACTGCAGGTCTGGTTTTAAAACAAGACATGAGCCTATTGAGAAAGCTTCATAAGGAAACTGCACTGGCTGCAGCGATGTCTGTTCACCCTGCAATCTCAGACTGGTTTGGGTTGGAAAGGACCTTAAAGCTCATCCAGTTCCAACCCTCTGCCACAAGCAGGGACACCTTCCACTAGAGCAGCTTGCTCCAGGGCCCTGTGTCCAACCTGGCCTTGAACACTGCCAGGGATGGGGCAGCCACAGCTTCTCTGGGCACCCTGTGCCAGCGCCTCAGCACCCTCACAGGGAAGAGCTTCTGCCTCAGCTCTAAATCTACCCTCTTTAAAAATAGACCCCAACACCCTCACCCCTCCCAAAAAAAACCCCAAAGCAGCCAAAAAAAGCCAAACTCGGATCACATCCAGACACACAAAATCAACCTGTACCTATTTTGAGACTCCGTTGCCGTAAGAGGTTGAAGCATTGCCTCCCACAAGGCTGCTCTGATTCACGGCCACGCACGGGCATTGTGTGCTCGGTGAATCCCAGCAGATCTTCCTGCTCAGCTTTTGCAGCAACAGTTAAACCTCTGACTTACTGGGAATAGAGGCGAGGACACACACGTTACCAGCTTCATTTTAACGCTGCACTTTGATGGTCCTCCTATGGAGCAGCTGAGCTCACTCGAGGCAGCTTCAAGGTTTAATAGGAACACAAAAATGAGCCCCCAGACCACAAATCATGCATGCAATGTACTTCATACTGAGATAAGCAAATGAAAAAGGCTGAGTGGGGCCTTTGGCAGAGCTCACAGCTGATAGGAGGTTGTCCCCTATGGTGTATTTAGCAGTGACCTGTCCAGTCGAGTGCTGATTACCTAAAACGACACAGAACTGTCTCCATTTCCTCCAGGGAGAGTGTTCACAGCCAAGCCTATCTCTTTGGCAAAAGGTCTTCTCCCAACATCTTGTTTTCCCCTGCTTTCACTACATTTCACCTCTCCACAGCTCAGGCCTTGAGCCACATCAATGAACTCCCCATCCCTTTCTGCCATTCCCCACCCCAATGCAGCCATTTTATACATCTCCTTGGCTCTCTTTAATCATCACCTAGTCAGGCTTACAGCTTTAATCCTTGCAATCTGCTATCGTTGCCCAGTTCTCTTGCCTCAGTCACTGCAGATGTTTGCAGCCCCTCCACAGTTTGGCCACCATCTCCTGGTATGAGGTCCAGCCCCAAATGACCAAGTTTGGCTTCCCCCAGGAGATGCAGATCAATACCTGCACATCCATGCCAGGGGTGGGATTCCTCAAACACTGTCAGGGATGGGGCAGCCACAGCTTCTCTGGGCAACCTTATTCTATTGAGCCACCCTAACAGGAGTGACTCAGGACTTTAACCAGGACAGAAGATCAGCACCCACAACAGTACCCTCAGGGACAAAAAACCCTCTTAGCAATATACCTGCCCTTGCTGCAGGCAAGAGTCATGTTGTTAACTGCTCCTCTCATCAAGGATGCTAGCAGTCCCTTGCCAAGCTCATCTCAATCATCCCAAGAGGGAACAGTAAGAAAAGGTTTTAAACCACCCCTTCATTTTGATCCTCATCTTTGCCATCTACCTCCACTGTAACAGCCTCCCCTTGCATCCCTATTTTTTCAGCATCTCATCTATTACGTCTCAGCCACCCCACTAAAAATACTCCATAGGGGAAAAGAGTCACAACAAAGCAGTGTCACCCCAAATTACATTATTTTCCACGGATGAGAGGGGAGAGAAGAAAGAGATGACATGCATTTGTTACTAAAGACATATGAAAGTCCTTGTCTCCTAACCAAGGACCCTAATATCAGGATCAGCTGTGCCAATACAAGCTGTGTTATTACCTCTGCGGTACAAAGCAATTTGTTTTTATTGACCATTCGCTATACAGGGCACTATAACACGCTCCTGCTCATTAGAGTCTGTCAGTCAGAAGGCAAAGGAAGGTAAAATCAAGATTTAAAGAGAAGGCAGCTCTTTGCAGTCCTGAAGATAATCTTGCTACAGCAGGAGCATTGACAGCAGGCAGCTTGCACTGCAACAAGGAGCAGCAAACCATCGAGAGAGCTCAGAATTTCAGGCACTAGAAGAAAATCCTTAAAGCAAGGAGAACACAATTGACCTCCCCTGGACAGGAAAACACCTACAAACTTGCATCCAAATACAGCACAGTGTACCAATCTGTGTTTGCAACAGACCTGATGTATTAGGAGCTCTGCTGCAATCAGGGGCTTCGTCTTTTTGTCTTTCCTTGGAGAAGATGGTTAGAAATCGAGAATAACCTATGCTCCGTCTCAAGTGAGTCTTCCCACAATTTAGACCTGCTTTATGCTCCCCACCACTCACATTTCACCTTTCATTACAGCAGAGCTATTTTCTGGCCTAGCATAGCTAATTCTACTGAAGCGACATGCACAGGGATGAGTTCAGCTGCTGTCACTTTAAGATGGAATGTTTTAAGGCCAAACATACAACAGACAGAAAGTGCAAAGGATGTTCAGTTTGGAGAAACCCAACATCCAAGAACAACCTGTATGGAACTGATCTAGGCTACCCCAGCACAACAACCAGCCATCCATTCCCTCCATCACATGCAATCTGTTTTGGTCTACAGCACAGTATTTCTAAGTCTCAAACCCATGTACTTTATATAGTTTAGTTCCTGGTAAAACACCACCCACCCAAAGGCTTGAAGCAATGCAGAACCGGCTGCTTGGGACTTACAGGGTAGAGAACACAGGTTATTTTTGGCATTACCCCTCGGTGGTAGAATGAGAACCATAGGCTAAACTGTAAAAAACATCTTGAAGACGTACATTTGGTGATGAAGGACATATGCTTTTGAGGGGCGGGGGATTATGAGGAAGAACACTTGACAGAAATCCTTTGTCCTCATCCCTGCCAACCCAACTAGTCTGCAGAACTGAAATGCATGGTTAAATCCTGATGCGTCAGGACAAGAACGCCTACGGAAGTCCCACAGCATCCTTCAGTCCAGCCTAAAGCAAACAAGTCAAGGACTTGCCTCAGAGATAATGTGGCCTGGTCCACAAAGCATATTACTCATAACTCAGGTGTCTACCCTTAATTTGTATCCACTCACCAAGGTTCAAAGCACCAGTTCCTTGTCCCCCCTTGCACTGCAAAGCTGATTCACGCCCTGTGGAATGAGGAAAGGATATTGGCAAGAAGCCCTGGAGGTGCCCACCTTTCTCTTGCCCAAGACTGCAAAGCCATGAGAGACAAACCCTTCCATTCAAGACTCGGTCCACAAACTAGTGCATAAGCTCAGCTTACCAAAACCAGAAGAGGAGCTAGGCTCATACAAGCACAGCTGTAGTACCTGGAGGCACCTCTGTGAATCCCATTGTGGGTCACTGGCAGGAAAGTTTTCCTCTTGGAAAGTTTCCTCCTCACAAGACTGTTATGATTTGGCCCTGTATCCATGATGCTGATGGTCATGGCTGCAAATGGAAGTTAGGCATGTGGAAGTGCAGAAACACATAGGTCAACCTGGTCACTAGCAGTTCAGAAGCAGAAAATGAGATGCATTAAACTTCTTTCTGGTCAACCTTTATTTTACACGTTTGCATCACAGCAGGGAAACCAAGTTACACAGAGCGTCCTGATATGCATCTAGCTGGACTTCTCTTCAAATTGTGTTTCTTGTTTAATAAAGCTTAAAAAAATACTGAAAAAAATCCATTTGTACATCTGATCATGAACTGAGGAACAGGATATTTACAGGTCACCAAGAACCCTGGAACTGGACCTTGCTGTACACAGGGAAGTCTTCTGAAGTTCTTCTGGAGGCCATTTACTAAGTGAACTCAAAGCTACATTGTACAGGGTGCCCTAAAGCTGCTTAATGACACAAAAGGATCTAGAATTAATTATTAATAGTTACTAAAGGGAAAAGGAAGCTATTTAGACCCATACTCTGTTTTGACAGACCAGGTACCAGCCCAACACTCCAGTATCCTAGCTGCAAGACAAAGTGCTTCTGATAATGTGGAGGTCAGGCTCTACTTTATTACACAGAGAGCAGAAAACCAAGTGAAATCCCACAGGGAAATGTTTATTAAGAGTTGTCCTTTCTACAGGATTGCTGCAGTCAAAACATAAATGGCTTCTTGAGCCAGTCAATCTACAAGGAGTGACTCTTTCCTCAGCCACTTTCTTCCAGTACCATCACTTTACACATAAATATCTTAGTATTTTTCTTAGGTTCTGTTCCAACCACTTGCAAGTACATTATCATGGGCGGTTCTTACAGGATCATTGCTATATCCAAGCAAGAAACTACAAGGAAGGAAAATACACGGCTTCCCAACACTGCTAAGTAAAAGCGATTCATAAGCCCAAACCAGCATCAGATCCAACAGCTACAAGAAAAGCCAGATTCATCCAATTGAGAACAATGTTTTTGAGCAAATGAACCCCAGGGATCACAAAGAAACATTTGGTCAAGTGCCTCTGGGCAGCACCACCTCAGCATTCAGGAAGCATTCATGGCGCTGAAGTTACAAAATCATAGGTTTTAGTGTAAGTGCTGTTATATTTCAAATATCACTGTGCCTCCCATCTACTGCAGACCACAGCTCCATGCTCCTTTTACCAAGGTGAGAAAATGGGAAAACGTTTGATGATTGGAGGTGATAACACAGAATCAATAAAACACATCTGCTTTAAAGGAACAGAAGTCTGCTACCATGACAGGTCAGATGGAAGGAGACAAACAAGGTAGGCTGAAGGAGAAGGCTTCCTTCCCTTCAATATCTTGCTACTACTCGATTATTTTAATAGCTAAGCAACTTCAGTTCTCAGAGCAAAACATACAAATACCCAATATTTGCTTCAAATGCAACCAAGCAATTTTCAAATAGACAACAATAAAACCCCTTTTCTTGTCAAGTGGATTATCAGTGGCTGCATTTCTCTTCTGTAAGAGGAGCACACTGCAAGGAAGAAAACAAACAAAAAAGACAACATGATCTTCAACTGGACTTTCAAATGTGCACACTGAAGTGATTAGGATATGCACTTTCGTGGCCAGAAGGAATGTTGCAGTGCTGAAGGATACACGGTGGATGCACACCGATGCTACAGAGTCCACTTAGCTTAGCACAATACACCTTCCACATTGCTAGCTCCAAGACAAAATACTGCAATGCAGCAAATTGTTACAACATGCTCCCAGGGTATGCCAGCATGGAAACCCAGGAACAGGGCACTCAGCTGCAGAGGAGCACTGAACAATGCATGGCACAGATCATGACACACTGAGTTAGATGACAACATGAAACAGCATCTTAATAGGACAGCGTGTGGCTTCTTCAGCTCAAACCGCTCTGTTTTGAGCGAGCAGCAGCTATGTTCCAGATGACCCCATTATGTCTTGCTTTCTGTTAGCACATCTCTTGATGAACCATCAAGGAAAACATTTTCAAGCCTGAAGAATGCAAGAGTCTGGCAGTTGCACTGCAAGGAGGTTTCCTCTGGAAGACAGCTTCTGAACAGTTACAGTGGGAGGGAGGAGTGCATCAGTGGTATTTGCATGTCATCATCAAGAGGAATTTACTGGGGCATAATCTGCATTACAACTGAAGATTGAAGCACTCTCATTTTCATCTGCAGAGGGTGCACAGGACTCCACTGCAGCAACATATGTGAATGCATTTAAATCCATTTATTCTGAATTGCATCGCACCAGCTTTTCCAGGACTCCTGTCAATCTACCACTGTGTACCTGCAGGTGATGGATTTAGTTGCTCACTTCAGTAAAAGGCAGGAACAGGAAAGTAAGGATCCATCCCAAACCAATTTGTAAGCCACAAGCAGCTCTTCCATTTCCCCTGCCCGTGAAAGACAGATCTTCCTACCAGATAGGCTGCCATCAGCATTTGAAAAGCAAGCACTGTGATTATCCTGCCTTGTGAGCTCTAAGCTGCTGTATTACACACCACTAATAGAACCATGCACTGGCTAGTTCTGCACATGGGGGTTCACCTTGAGGATGAGGGAGTAACCCTCCTTTGATGCTTTGCAGTGCAAAACCCACACTGTGCTGCAAGAGAAACACAACATCCTCTCCACCCTCCATTGTCCAATCCATCACACAACCCTGCAAGACAAGTTTTTCGACCTGCTCCAAGGAATCCCATTAAAGAAAACAGAAATTCACTTTGGAAACGGCTGCAGTAAGGACCTTCTATCACTCTTGTGTTTTTCTACAGTAATGCTTAGGTCTCGCTAGTTACTGGTTAGCATCCGGCGTTAAGTGCCAGCTGAGATTGGCTGTACAGCTGATTGCTGAAGCTCAGGTCTGAACTTAAGAAAAGCTCTTCTAAAAAGCACTTTCACAGTATGGTCATAGCTTTTTATGCCAAGACAAAAAGCAACCACCCATTTTTTGTCTTTGACTAGTGAGCCAGGGACTTGGCAGATAAACCTACACCATATGCAACTTGAGAAAAAAAGTGCATATAAAAACCAGAAACCTGAGAGTAAGGTAAAAGCATTTGCCAAATCAGCAGCTCCACTGATGCTGAGGTATGGAGCAGGCAGCTGTCTGGAACCAGCTCAGCATGTGCTGGGATCCTGGTGCAGCCCTCATGGTTTGGGGTGAAATGCCACACAGGCATCTGAATTTCACACCTCATTTGCAAAACGTATTAACAGGTTCTAAGGGAGCATCATGTCCAGATTAACACTGTTATTGCACTTCTATTCCTGACAGCAAATCCTTATCCTTTACATACTTCAGTGCCAACAGACTTCAGGTCTCAAGTGGACAACACTGAACAAAGGTTACAGCCTGTTTGAGTAGCCTTTTCGATGAAGACAGTGACATCTCCACTGGGATAGAAGAACTGTGCAGAGTGAGAGCATGAGTTTTCCAGGTACGGTATTTAAGGCATATGATGCCTTAAATAAGGGACTGCCTTTTTTTCTTTGTAGTCCATTTTCTCACACCTCAGCTACTTCATATGCAGTTTTCTTCACACAGAAGGTCCAAAATGCTCATAGGTCACCTAACAGTCTTTCTAGTGGTGTAGGCTCTCTGATTCCGATACTAAAACTGCATCATTGCAAGACAATGGCAGCAACAGTCAAACTTTATCACTGCTGTGATTCCTATGCAGTTACAGCTGAGGAGTAAAAAACAACCTAGAAGAGGACTCTGTAACCCAGAAGAGGGCTATTCTTACGCTTTACCTGAAGAGAAACCAGTTCCAGGTATCAAAGCAGGCAGATTCATTTCTACCATTTCCATGGTGCATAGAATCAACGGCTGGGAAAAGAAGTGTTAACCAGAGAAAACAAAGCTGCTCTTCAAACAAGTCTCAGTACAGATTGCTCATTTAACGGCGCTACAATCCCTGTTCAAGACTGGGGATGAAGTGGTTTACAGTTCCAAAGAAAATCCTCCTTCTAAATTAAAGAATAACAAACGTAATGACTAATACACTGATCAGTTGTGCCCCAGAGATGTAGTCCCTTCAGCCAAAAAAGCAATTCCTAAAGGAGCTTGTAAAAGATGCTGGCACATCCAAAGCTCTGTGATAATACCTCTCCCTGCCACACTGATAGAAGCACTTTGCTTGACAGCACCGTATGTCAAAGTCTCTACGTGAATATTAAGGCTTCAGTGGGTCAGTGATTTATACTTGATTTATTTTTCTTAAATATCTTATCCTCATCACATCAGTGAACCACTTCCATCCTCCCCCAGATTTCACAATCATTTACTATGCCTTAATACTCCAGCTATGGGCACCAGCTTGCCTTACTAACAATACCAGAGTACTACAGATAAAACACACATGGCTTTTGTTGTATGTCTGTAAAAACTCCACTGCAAGTTTGCAGTGAATAGTCAAGACTTCTGTATTCCCCTGCACTGAGGTTATGTCCTGATCTACTCTTTTCCTGACAAAAAACATTTAGGACTGAGAGCTGCAGTTGCCTGGCTTTGGTGGCAGTACCATTTTGACTAATTCAGCTCATCTCAAACAGCAGCAGCATCAATCCTGCACAGCCAGAGAGGTACAAGCAGCCATCCAGGGAGGCCAAGTAACTCAGGATAATGGTGAACTGCAGATCTAGGCTGCAGTAGATTTGCTGGACAGATTTCCACTGGAGATATTTCTGGTACTGGTCCTGCTGTACCAGAAAGGAGTGTCTTTTGGAATACCTTGAAAATATTTTAGAAAGCAGATCAAAGGGCTCTGGGTCACAGCTGGAAATTACATGTTTAAGATGGCACAGCAGACCCCTAAAAAGCAAGCATCAGTCTTACACCTCTTGTGTACTTCTTGTCAGGCGGGTGTGAATCAAGAGCAACTCCATGAACAGTGGAGAATTTATGTTAATGCTTATCGCACTATGGGCTAGCATTTTTAATGGAGAACAGTCACTTGTTTCCTATGTAGCAATACATTTGAAAACCTGACACATTCAAGTGGGTACCTGCATGGATAAGACAAGAAAATACTTAACTTTCCCACTGATAATGAGCAGTGGCAGAAGTCATCTGATCCAATACCCTATTTAGTCTCTCATATAACTGCAGTTGTTTCTATTATTCGTTTTGCAATGCTTTGTCCAAGCCAAAGGGAGAGTTTATAAAAAGAAAAATAAAATACTTACATCTCTTTTCTTTTCCCACCTTCTGACAGGCTTTGCAATTCCCAGCATACATGTTACATAGCAACTGTGTAGATATATATGCGCATTATATAAAATATATACTTTTACATACACACTAAAGGTCTCTCTTCACATCGGTATTACGCATTCTGAAGAACGTGACTGCAAACAATTTGGAATGCCCAACCAATCCAGAGAGGGGGAAAAAGAACAAGCTACCCCAAAATCCCTAGGAAAGCTTCACACTCCTTTGCAGGTACCAAGAGATCCCATTTTCTTATGATGAGAGGAACAGTTGTATTTCTGCACTGCTTTGCTCCCCCCTAGGCACACCCCGCTCTGCAGTTTCAGTGTTGGGAGGTGCCAGTTGCTCCCTTTCCACTGAGAGGAATATTAATAAATTAAAACAGTTTCTCTGAAAGTGCTGCCTCAGTCCAGTCCGTTCATGCTGTGCTTTCCCATTCTCCCTGTGGCTCTGCTGAACCATTCACCACTTTCTTGACCTTCTTCATGCCCTCCATTACTCCAGAAGTCGTCACCCTGGAAGAGAAAGGAGAAACGTGAGAGAACGGAACTTGAACCGTCACATCCACTGCACCAATAGCCCACGCTTCCTGTGCATATCAACTAACACTTCTCATGTGTCTCTTTACCCAGACCTAGCAGTCTTGATGCTTGGCCTCTCCTATTGCGACCATTTTGCAGGCCAAGTATCATCCTGGACATAATACTGATGGAAACTGGGAGCAAGACCAGCGTCTCTGAGAGCCTCAAGGTTCTTCCCATCTACCATTAAACTAAACCAACAAGTATTTTCTTGTACTTGAAAGAAGATAGCAAGGGTGGTTAAACAGTTAAACCAGGTGTTTACTTACTAAAGTTTGAGCAGCTTGCTTAAAAAAATATTTTGCTCTACAGCAGAACAGCCTTAATTCTGTGCATTAAAAGACTTCTTTCTGCATTTGCAATGCTTTTAATAGGTACAACATACTATACAACTGCACACACAGTTGGACAGTGCCCCAAATGAACCTTATTAGCTTAATGCACACCAATTCCTGGTAACAGCAATAAAACCTAAGAAAACTTTCTACCATCCAAGCCTGGATTTGTCACAGCCATCTGACCATTGAACTACAAAGCCCCATAATACACTTCAAACATTAGACAGACTGAACTGTTTATCCAGGCAGAACAGCACCACTCTTCTCTTGGAACTACCTTGGCTATCCACAAGCTCTTCAGCCCAGCAGCTTTCTCCGTTGCTATACAAAACAGGCTATTGACATGCACAAGACATTTGCTTTATTCTTTTGCACAGTATGATTCTCATTCCATGCAGGTATTTTTTTTTTTGCCTACAAAATGTGCTACAAAGGTTATTTGGGATGCTGAAAGTAAGGAGTGCCAATAGCTCAGTGCATTCACAAGGGATGCCTGGAAGGATACATCAAACTGTCCTGTTCAGTGCTGTCAGTCTTCGTGTGCTTTCACCTGCTGTTTATCACATAAGAATACTTTATTTGATCAGACTAGCTAACAACATTTTCACAGTATAACCCAAGAGAACTCATCTTGAGATACACTCAGATCATGCCCATAGTTCCATGTTAGATAACAGCTTCTGTTCATGTACTGTAAGAGCAATTTACTCAAACTGGTGTGTTCAGTGACTCTCTAGCGATGGCAGTACTGGGATCATCAGCGGTTCAGACACTTCAGAGTAGGCCAAGATGAACTTAAGGTATAGGGAAAGATTTACATTGGCTATCAGGAAGAAAGTGAGGGTTGTGAGGCACTGGTGCAGAGAAGCTGTGGCCGCCACATCCCTGGCAGTGTTCAAGGCCAGGTTGGACAGGGCTTGGAGCAACTTGGTCTAGTGGAAGGTGTCCCTGCCTATGGCAGGGGGTTGGAACTGGATGAGCTTTGAGATCCCTTCAACCCAAACCATTCTACAACTCTATGATTTGTGCTCTTCTGACCCTTTCAAACAGCAACTTTATTCCCTATTGAAATGAAAAACAAAAATAAGGGAGAAAAGCAAGCATGTTGCCTAAAGGAGAAAGATGGGATTAGTAAACACTTGCCTGGAAGAGATCACATCAAGCTTATCAGAACAGAGAACATAAAGATCTCCCAGGTTCTCGTCACTGACGAAGGTTTTTGCCCAGAGTCACAAAGGAAAAAATTTGGGGAAATGTGAGCTAGACAAACCCAAAGTAGCTGCACAACTAATTGGAACTGCACTGAGATGTACTTAATGGTTTCCTGTCAAAAAACAAAAGAACAGAGAGTGTGGTTCCAGAAAGGTCTGTCCTAGGTTCGCTTCTATTTGATATTTTCAGTAATTGCCTGGGTAATGGAACAGAGAACTTGCTTATTAAATCTGCAGAAGACACTAAGAGCTACGTATTTGAGAAGAGGACTAGAATGCAGACAGATTCTGGCAAATCGAAGTAATGGCCTGAAAAATATGGGACAATGTAGCAAGATAGCTACAAAGTTTGGTCTTCAGAAATAATCAACTTTGTAATTACAGAGTAAGGAGCTAAATATCTATTCTTCAGGAAGGAGCTGAAGATTACAACGGATTACAAACCAAAAATGAGCATCTAACATAGCAATGCAACAGCAGACATACTGGGATATAAAAATAGGTGTTCTACACATACATGACACCAAAGTAGTCCTATCACTTGAGTCACAGATAGTAAGATCCCACCTGGCACACAGCCTGGATTTTAGCACTGCACTCCAATACAATTACAAACCCATTGCACACCAAGATGATAACAGAAGTGATGAGAGGATATGGTTAAGAGGGAATGATCCACTTCTCGCACTCACGGAGGGACAGGACAAAGAGCTACACACTGAAATTGCTGCCAGGTCAAGTCACGTCATTTGTACCAGAAGCCATTTACTGTCTCCCTCCAGCAACAACAGCAAAGAACTAGGAGAGATTTTGGGGTGGATTCCTCAATAAGGAAACTTAAAGACCATTTAAATTGCTCTGCTCTTGTCTTACAAGTGTACGGCATAGCTTTTGAATCCTCATTGTCTCAGATTGTGTACAATGGGGGAGTCCTCCCCCTCTCAAAGTCAGTTCAGCCAACATGTTTTAATGCTTAGTAAAATAAGGGTATCAGCACTAAGACCAAGCACACTGCAGTTCTCATTCTAGCCCTCTGAGCAGCCCAAAGGCTTCAGTTCTAACTTGCAATACTGCAAGTAAGCGTTCCTCACCTGCAGTTTGCTGAACTGCATTTCTAGCCCCCAAACTAGCAGTAGTTAAAGTGCAACAAATCCTCCTCACTAAACCATCTCCCTCTGGAGAGAATTTTTGTGGCTGTCAGAGGGACACCCATCACAAATGAGGCACAAAAGGAGCTCCCTGAACATTGCACAGTGGTAGGTGCTGTGGAAATATCAGGGTTCTTTATTCTTCCCACTTGTGCTGTATCCAAGGTATCAAGCAATGGCTAAGCATTCCGGAGCATCTTCAGCCCTCCACTGCAGTGGATCTCAGCTGTCTTTTCATCTGTTTTTTGTGTTTGTTTAGTTTTATAGCCCAACAAGAACCCCTGCAATGCTGGCAGCAGCCACCCTTCACAAGCTATTGTGAACTGGAGTGAAAACTGATCAGCCATAGAACAAAAAAGCAGACCTCTGCATGGGAAAGATGTGTTAGGTGAAGAAAATCACTTCTGATGAAGGGCACCATGAATCAGCCTGCCATGACAAACAGGGAGAAAGCAGAGAAAAGCAACCAAGCAGGACTTCACAGCACAGAATAGATTGCCTCATGATTCAGTGAGAAACTCCAGATCCCAAAGCATAAGCAAAGGTAGGCCAGTGTTACCACAACAGTTCACTATGCTGAGACTGTTTTGGGTGGCAAGGAGAAACAAAGTTAGTATCTACGCACTCAGTAAGATGGATTTACCAAATTGAGAACAAAACCATTAATGGCTTTTCCTGCAATTCATCCTCCAGTGGAAATACCTTAGCCCCTCATGTATGTATGAACATCATTCTCAAACAAGACATTAGAAGAGCACTTTGGTACCTAACATTTAAAGCAAATTTACTGAGCTGATGAAATAACTTACTGCAAGAATAAAGCAGCTCAAACCAAACCCTGCTTCCTTTCCCATTCCTCACCCCCACATCATCTACTGTACCATTTATATTTGTGTTCATGCCCCAGAAATGGCATTAGGACTGGAAGCCTGACAACTCTTTCTGCCAAGTGTGGCTGCACCATTTCAAACACTGCTTTAATCTAAGGAACTGTCAGTGACATGCCTACATACTGACAGAACGGGCTCAAGAGGCTGCCCAGAAGAAAACACACAGAAGCCACTTTGTTGATGATGAATTGCTATTGACCCTACTTGAAAAAGAACAGACTGGTCCTTAGTTCAGGTTTAGTTATACTCTTACTCTTCTCTCCATCAGGAGAACTGGTATAACTGAAGAGCCTGGTTGAGCCTGGTATAACTGAAGAAAGTCTTATACCATTTGGGGATGCTTTCTCCCAAGATAGAAGCAGGCTACTTCAAATGACTTACTACAAGTTATCTTTGCTGCTCCTGATTTATACTTTGTTTTTGAGAGTTACAAGAACTCACAGAGGAAAGGCTTGTGCCTTATGTTGCTCCTGTCACAGCCACCTAGTCTTTGTGTTTGTCTTGAAACTCTGCAGATCTCCACACTGTCCTTAACAACATTTACATTTACTGCCAGACTGAGCTTTGTCTAGTTTGCACTGCATGAAAACAGGCATAAGCTAGACAGTTACACTTAAAATGTCCTATTCTTTTTGCTGGAAAACAAGCAGGCTTGGAAAACACAGCTCTCCCCTTGTTTTACAGAGCCCGATTTTAACAAAAGTCCTCTTGCAGAGGAAAATAACCATAAAACCTGGCAGTAAGACATAGCAGGACATTATGAAGTATGGAGGCTTTTAACTTCTGCCATAGCCTCTGAACACAAGTAGTATTTATCACATGAAAGACAAAACACACCCATGCACTGGTTAGTCAGGATGCTGTCAGGCACTTAGTCACTTGCTCAAATAAACCTTGGTATTTTTCCCCTACAGAAACAACATTTAATATTTATAAAAGCAAAAATAGGACCAGCAAGACCAAATCAACAAGAAACTTAACTTTCCTTGTAGTGCTTCACCTGTCACAATGTGTATACACCATGCTTGTCAAATAGGTGCAAACTTAAATCTCCCTGCTGCAGCTGGTGAAAGGAGAACAAGACACAGATTGCACCCTGCCACATGCCCAAAAGAGTAAAACTTCTGGTGAATCAAATGAGAAGAATTCAAGCAAAGCTAAGGGGAACAAGCCAAAAGGCACAACAATGGAGACTCACAAGGCAAAGGGCAAAATGCCTTACTAGGAAAAGGCTCACAGGAAATTCTGATCCTTGACTTTCTAATCTCCATTTCACTATGGGGAGATGTAAATCACTTGATTAGTTCATTAAAACTTTCTCCAGCATATTTCTAGCAGGTTCTCCTAAATTTATAGCAGCCTCTTCAATTTACTGAAATCACTAAATTTGAAAGGTGCTGTTATCATCTGTCCTAATAAAACCCAAGTAAAAAAAATCACTAAGCATGTAATGCAAGGTTGAAATTTATTCTAATAGGCAAAAAGGAATAAAGCTCATTTCTGTATAATCCCAAATCCTGCCACATCTTCAAGTTCAAACATCTGCATCACAAAGGCACTGTCTATTTACCAGCTTCCAAACTAAAACCAGTTTCTGACATCAACCATTTTAAACACCTTTAAGTGATTGTGATTCTAAAGTCAGTATGCACTAGCTGAATCTCACCTGCAGCAATGACAGATTTTATGGACCCAAAGCAAACACAGGTATGTGTTTGGAAAGATGATCTTTGTTACTAGAGGTATTTCTGAGAAACTAAACTCCTTGCATGACATTTCAGGCTGGATTCTATGATTCAAACCACCTTGTAGCTGTTTCCCAGTAAGAGCCATTTCTTTCTGAGCTATGATGGCAAACACTTTCTGCCTCCCCCCCCCCGGCAATAAGAATCTGAATGCTGATTTGTTTCACCCAAGTAAAGGAGATTTGCCAAAGTGGAAAAAACTCTAAGGAACAGGGTTCTGAGCCTGTACATGAATTGCAATTATGCATGAAATGTGTGACTACTAAAGAGATTAGGTTAGCTTGGCTCCTATTAAGGCAACAGTCTGTCACATTTATAGCTGTATTCAACACTTCTTGCATGCTGAATTTCTTAGGGCAGTTTCTATTATAGATTCAGAAATGCCATTCATGTTTTAAGTCCTCAGAAAATCACTGCAAAGAAAATGACAGGGACTTCAGCAGAGCCCTACTTTATAATTTCTCCAGACTGAGGTCCTACTGCATGGTACCTCATGGTTTAACAGCAAAGAACAGAACAGGGAAGAGTACTGGTAAAAATCCAGCTCCTCAGCTCAGTGTAACTTAAGTTTCTGCAAAGGCTGAACAACAAGGCAGAAGGGACTTTACATTAGGCTCATTTATACTCTGCAGACAGTTTTTGTGGCTGGTTTGGTGGTTTGTTTTCTAAACCATGAAGCATTCATCACAATCTGTAAGGCTTGTTGGTTTTCAGCAACATATATTGAAGACAGAAGCTTTTTTACTTGGTATTTTCATGAGCATCTTTTTGCCTCATGAAAACCTTTACCAGCTTATTCCACATTACTGCAATCTCCAGCTCAGAGGCTCCTATGGATATCACAAATCTCTTTATTAGTTTAACACACAGCAAAGAGACACCTTGTCTTTAAGCACATGGGCAGATCCTAATCTTTTTCAAAGGAGGATTTAGAGAGATTAAAGTAAACTGTTTTTAAACATTATTTTTCTCAAATCAAGTGAAGAGGTAAAAAGAGAAGGAGGGGGGGAAGGTTCTTACACAGCTTCCATCTCCAAGTCATCCTCATCGTCTTGAGACAGCTGTAGATAAGGGTTGTCTGATGCTGGACGGAACTTGTACCCAGTGAGGACAAAGAACACAAGGGTGGCCATTTCATCCAGCAGCTGCAAGCAAAAACATAAGACTGAAGTTCAGTCCTGTAATCCTTCATGGTCAAGAAACATTTCTCCTCATTCATGAAGTTCAAGGTTTAATGGGCCAAGAAGCCTATGCCACAGCAGAAATAACAAAGCAATTCCTGTCCTGTTATCATTAATCCCAGGGTAAAGGCTGTCAAGCCCTTTGTTCTTTCAGCTTCCCCTGTCACTTTAAATACAGTTACAGTTCTAGCCATCACTCCAGTGCTTTTAAATAACTACAGCAAGACTTGGCTTTTAAATAAAGGGGGGGAGAGAGACTATCATCCCTATGTTGTTTTGGTATTTTCAACAGTTAATGTATTCCAAAGACTCTCTGCAGTTACTTGGATTACATGTTAAGAAACCAAGCATTTAAAAGTCACAAGGCAAATAAGCCTGTACATGGGAGAGCAAAAGCGTATTTTACTGGCTCCCCGGGGCCTCAATTCACAAGGTAAACCTGAGGAGTTCTTTTTCTCCCTTTGTATGTTCTTCATTAATTTCTTTCAGACATTTTAAGTTGAAACACTAAAAATCAATAATACAATTACTGTCAGACATCTCGGGTATAATCCAGCGGACTGGCTGGACAAACATAAAACTAAACATATATTCCCATCACCTTAGGCACATTAGCGCTAAAACTCAGGAGGAGACAGGGTGCAGGACTGTGCTTTGGGGTATTGTACTACAACACGAGGAACAATGGTGTAGTTATTCATAGTCAAATATTTTTTGATGCAGTTATATTTAAATAATAAGAAGAAATAAAGAAATGGATGTATTTTCCTTTCTTGGCAAATACCTGGTACAGCCATTTCCACTGGAATGGAACAGCAATCTTTATGAGAATTGCAATGATCCGTGTGAAGTAAATGTAACACACAATCTGGGAAGGGAAAGGAGAAAGCATGAGAACAATAGCACCATCCTTATAGAACCTCTTTTTCCAGAGAAATAGCTCAAGCAATTCCCAAGCAACTCATTAAACTCAGACTAGCCTTATTATGCTCCTCAATAAACATGGAAGATGTAGGCTGAGGGCTCTACTGCTGGTTGAACATCCAAATGACTCAAGCTGTTGCTAACATATTTAAGTTACAGCAGGAAATGCTTCAAGTATTACGATTTTGTAGAACTTGAAGAATCATGATTGTAATTTATTACTTTTCCTACTTACAAGAGTCTGAAATGAGGCCACTGGAAATCATTAAGAGGCTCAGGCTCTCTTGGGAGGTATGCTCATGGCTCCCACAGACTTAATCAGAAACTGCACACATGCATCTCAAGGCACCATTTGGTCCCAGGTTTAATTTTTAGCAAGTTTACAGTACGTTATTCAAGCCCATCAATTCAACTAGCAGCTCAAGCTGTCTCCAGAGGAAATCAGGAAGCATTACAAATAGCTGGAACCAATTTAAAGATAGCAGGAGGCAACCACTATGAAAAGACAGGAAGTTGCTTCGAGGATTATAACCCAGCTGACCAAAATGCCAGAGCAGAGCACTGCCACAGAACTAGGAACATCTCCACCATATCCACCAGCTATTGTAGCTTCCAACAAGTAATCCATTAAAAGGCTTGAGTGGCTTCCAAGTACTCTGTATTTAAATGTACATCTGTATGCAGGTGTACAGATGTTTTACTTACCATAACATAGTAATGTCGGAAAAGCTTCAGCTTTGCTAGGTTAATGGCAGCTATCAAGAGAACACAAAAGACCATCAGAAAACTGTTAAAATGAGACTGTTTCTTTTGATGCTTGTCTGCAAATAGGAAGTAGTCAAAACCAGGACTCAAGTAACCCCAGGTTAGGGGGTTTGTCCCACAGCCCACTGGGTGCTCCAAGGAGTGCCAGTCCAACTTGTCTATGTGTTGGACACCTCCCAGGCTGGGGTGCACTCTCTCTTAAAAAGGCAATTCACTGAGATCATCTTTACACTAAATTTCATATGCATGCACTCTGCAATACAGAACCTTCCTCTATCCATATATAGCTAACTACATACTGTCACCTCACTCCTGCCAGAAGGGCTATGCCACATTGCTGTCATGGTTTAATCCCACACAGCAACTAAGTACCACATAACTGATCTTTCACCCAAATCTCCCCAGTTTCTATACTGATGATGATCTATGGTACGGAATATCCCTTTAACTAGTTCAGGTCAGCTGTCCTGGCTATGCTCCCTCCTGGCACAGAGCACAAGAGGCTCAAAAGCCCTTGATTAGGGTAAGCACTACTCAGCAACAACTAAAACACAGGTGCATTATCAATGTTATCCTCAGACTAAAACTAAAACACAGCACTGTACCAGCTACTAGGAAGTATCTCAGCCAAAAGCAGGATAACTGCCTCCTAAAAGATTCAGATCTTTTCTAGATTACTTCCTGACCTGCCCTGTGCCTTCAGCTGATCTGAGCGACTCCAAGGAAACCGCGGCGCTGGAAACCACTACACCATGTTGAACAGCAGCAGCAGTATTTTAGCAAGTAGTATCCTCCATCATTTGTAGCTCAGTCACAACTTACAAGTGAAATGGGAAGTCATACTAAATAGTTCTCCCAGCAAATGCATGTGTTTCAGTTCACAAACCATGTAAGCTGGGGCCTCAGGCGAACCTGTGTTCACTGGACAGATTATATCAGCTCTTGAGGAACACAGAGATATTTATGGGAATGAGCAGAGGTCAAAAGCAGATGGAAGAGCTGTCAACTCCGGTTTGACAGTCAGGTTTTATAGGTGCATCACAAACACAGACTCCTGATGCTTTTGTGACAACAGAGGCAAAGAGTCCAAGATATGTTGACAGCATACAGGAATGCAATTTAGAGTCAGTGAATACAAGTTGCCAGTTAGAAAGTACTGCTACACGCTTACGGGTTGGTATTCACTTCAAGCCCTCCATTTTTTTTTCAGATGTGGAAATGCAACACATTGTGCTTAAGTTTGCCTGCACTCCCTCACGGAAATCACCCACTGCAAAAAGCAGATTTTTGCAAGGATTTGCACATAAGATCTTCCAGGTTCACAACAGTGAAAACTGCAGTATTATGCATAAGAAAGAGGAGGACTAATAGCTACCAGAGAAATGCTTTACTTCCTGTGGCAGAAAAAAAATGAAGCTTTTCTTACAGAAAGGTAATGTCAAATGCATCACTCAAACCCTTAAAGGCTCCCATGACATTAGCTGCAGTGAAGACAGACAACGTTCTGTTTTAAACTTACTTTGTATAATCCAGAGATCAAGAGTCCCTTTCCAACTTACCTTTAGTGTTCCAGGAAAACCACTGAAAGCTATGGACACCTTGAGACAGATACAAACCCTGTTCCAGCAGATGTACTATAACAATAGCACCTGACTAACACAAGCCATAAACTAGCTGACAGGTAGATAAAACTAAGCTACTAAAAGTAGTTTTGATGTAGTGCTGGCTAGTGACTTCTATGTATTTCCAAACAGCATGTTTAACTTCTGCAAGAAGACAGGGAATGTCAGGAAGAGAAAGCAGGGCCAGAGCTCAAGAGGAAAAAAGCAAATCTTATTTGAGAAGGACTGTTTCCATGCAGCTAAAACTCCTCCTCTGCAATGCTCATCTGAACACCAATCCAACTGGGTTGACTTTGGGCAAGACTCTGCATATGGGGTCAATCTTATGGCACAGTACGTCACACTAACTCCCAGTTTTGGAAGCATAATCCCTTTTGAACTGCAATATGAAACACTGAACACAGAATAGCATTTGCTTTGCAATATTCAGTCCTGGACTCCAGAAAGCACTGCCAAGCTCTAGGCTTGCATCTGTAGAGTACCAGCAGTGAAGCACAGAGAACTTCACAGGGCAACAGATGGCAAGACCTAGAACAGCTAGAACAACCTAACTAAATCCTTCTTAGCTACTGAGACATTGGCTTAGCTACTTCTCCTTCATTTTCACCCCCTGCAAAAGCTACTTTCCAGCGTTTAAACAGCAAAAACTTACGGGCTTTATGGGTCTAGTGCTCTACCAGATAACCTAATGATAAAAGCCTTTCATGGAGAAAAATTAGAGCACCTAAACATGCAGGACAAGCTCATTAAATTGTGAATCAGGGAAGCAATACTGTCCTATTTAAAGGAGAGCTACATTAAGTGCAACCACAAAGATCCTGTGATTTACCACGTACCAGTTTATGCACAGAAGGATCTATTTTGAACTCAACGCATCCATCTTCAAGAACTGCCACCAACTGGTGCAATGACAGGCCATGAGAATTACCAGGCTTTGCAGTTAAAGGAACACCAACTCAACAGCTGTGATTCAAACTGCCAGGCCATCAGTGCTTTACAGTCAACAACTGAGTGAGCTGGGGAGTCATTTCTGTTGGATTCATGCAGTGCATAGGAGGAAAGGATCATGAAGCCAACGATCTGGCTGCCAAGTGAAGTGCCACAATGCCACCTCTCCCAGCTGACAGAGCACAGCTCAATATCTCACCTACTCATCATGGTAATCAATACCAAACAGTCACAAATTGGTACATCCAAACATCTAAAATGGCTGAGCATGAGTAAGAAGGGTAAGGGGTGGAAAAAAAAAGAATCGCCACTAGGTAGAAAGACTGAAGAGCCACCTTTGGAAGCAGGCTTCCTCCTTTATCACAATGAGGTGCTCTCCTCTAGCTGCCTCTACTTAAGAATACTTCTCTCCACTATCAGATACTGAAGCCAGTATTAATGCATGCCTACACCATTCTGCCAGTTTTTTTTAAACAGCTCAAAGTTACAGCACAAACTGTTCTGGAGAAAAACCTAAAATCATCATTGCTTGGCATCGCCTGTGAATTGCTTCTTCACAGGCTGAACGTGCTCCAGGCAGCAACACTTGAGTCCTGCTATGCTGGACGCTTTCAGACTTCGATTCACCTCAGCCTGGCAGTCCAGACACTGACAGCAACATTTCCAAGGACAGAGGCTAGGCCAGCAGCTGTTACAACTTGAATCACTTGCAGCTCCAACCTGTAAAGCTGTGATAACACAGCAGCAATCACTGCACGCAGTAAAGGTTGGGTAAATTGATGTTTCAAGTATGATAACCATTCTCCAAGGAACAGTACTTAGCTGCAGAGAAGCAAAAAACAAAAAAGCAGAGACTTCCTACCAAAGATTTTACAAATTAATTCAGCCCTGTGTTCCATTCCTTTCATAGAGTAATTAAAAAGATAAAAGCCATCCTCCAAGAAAGGTTTATGACAACATCTATACCTTGCCTCCCTCACTTTCCCCCTTTATCACCATTTACTTTAACAGCTTGTGTCTGCAATAGTCTGATCCACAGTGATCAAACCAGTATACCACAGTACTTTAATAATCAGTCCCTTTTTCAGGTTGCCCCGTGCTAATTTCAAATGCTGAGACAGCCTGTAAGACAGGAGAAAAACAGTCACACCATCCACTACAGCTTTACACACCAGACAATAACTTTCTCATGAATCAATCTGACCTTTTTAGAATGTGTGCAATAACAGTAACAGGACTGCGCTGAGGGCACAGAGAGCTCAAGTCCAGACACTACAGTATGCAAGGGCAAACCATAATGCATCTGAAGTGAACACACTGAAGTACAGCTAAATATTTCCACAATGCTTTGCATGCTATACTAACTCTGGTGCATTTGAGGTGCAATCTGTGCTGTTACCAAATAGTAAATGGATTTTTTTTACTATTCTCCCCAAGAATGAAGGCACACACATAGTTACAGACCTCAAAAAGCAACTCCAGAAGTAACTCGGAGAAGTATGGCTCTATAATCTCTATAACACTCTGCTAAAAAGCATTCCTATACTAAAAGAAGAGGTCAAGCAACCAGATGCAGTAAGTCTCAGTGTCATGCATGAGAAGGTGGTACAGACTTGTTAATCTTCAATATTCTGAAATACATTACCCACTTGGCACAGAAGTTCCCCACCAGGGTCAGAAGGGAGTCCAAAGTACAGGATAAGCAATGTATCTCCAACACATAATTGCTACGTCAACCCTGGGTAGCTATCTAGGGTGCCTAGAAATGGCACGCTGGAACACAACAGGCTTATTTCACTTCTCAGCTTGCATTTCTCAACATTTCCCGGCTCTCCAGTGCTATCCATTGAGGTCTTGACACTTAAATCACTAAAGCTTTATCTCAAGGTTTGAGATGCCCATGTATTGCCTAGAGCACGTTTACCCCCTCCTCCTCACTAGAGCTGCGGAGGTGTTTTATCACGGGTCTCCACGAAGCCACTGCCTCCAGCATCTGCTGAGTTCAGCTGAGCAGAGGGTGTTCTGCACCAGGCAGGACCAGGCTCTTCGTTCACAGCATTTTCATGGTACAGAAGCAGGAAGACGCTGAAAACAGCAAATGGTTTTTCCTGACACGGGGACAACCGTGAAAGCATTAATCATCATTTGCCCACTGCACAGCACACAGGGAATGCTGCCTGGGAGCTACACACTGCAATGTATTTCCCCTAATTCTGCTGCCAACTATGACACGCTGCAGTGCTTCAGGAAAATAGCTAAGAGTTCGTGATCAGACTGCACCGAGTTTCACATCTCATCACACGCACAGAGGTACAAGCAGAATAAAACCTGCAGCGGCATTTCCAGCCCTCCGATCCTCCCTCATACAGATGACATGATACACAGGAGTGGGTTATAAGACTAGAGAGGGCCAGTGACCAACAACTTTGAGTTTCAAACTACAATAAGCAAGTTTACTACAACATAGTCTCTCTCTTCCTTTTCTCATGATGCCTATAAACAAGGTAGTGGCAGTTGAGCAGCTTTCCAGCCCAAACAGTTCAGTTTGCAAGGCTGATATCCTTAGATCTGCAAGACATTTGTAAAGTAGACCTAAAAATGGGCAGAGAGCATGTACTTCCAGCTGACAGAAGATACAGTGACAGACCAAAGAGCTGCAGCAAGGCACGCTTAAGTCTGAAGGTGGTGATTTTTAAAGGGGGAAGGAAAAAAACACTTCTAAAACCGGGATGCTTACACCCACTGCTGTGCACGATAAGAAGCCTGTGTAGGTCAGATACTTTGCTTTAGAGTTAAAGATCACCTTCAAGGGAAAAAAAGTAACAACCAGACACCTCGAACTCAGCTGTATCATTGTGCCATGCCTACCCTTCACCAGCAATTCACAGCATCTGTGTGTAATATCTCTCTGGATGATTCTGGGTTTAGGCCTATTCCTTCAGCTTTCCCACTTAAAAAAGAAAAATCAAGTTTAAATGGCCATTACTTAGTGACTACAAATCACTGCTACATATAACAAGCCTTTTTAGTAATTGTACATTTCTACTACAAAGGTCTATGGCAAGAACAACTGTTAAGACTGAAAGACAGGTAGTCCTGACAGCCTTCTGCTTCGTTTATAGTCTAGTCACACACACTGCAGTCATGCCTGCACTTGACCCAAGGGAATGCTATCTAATAAACAGGTTGTGAAGTAGCTGGAAGAGGACAAGACAGACAGTCAGGAAACACCACCAGGATACTGAGCCATGAAGTCCTTGGAGTTGTTAGTTCTAATAGACGCAAAGAAGCAAAACCAATTTTCTTTAGGTTTTTCTCACCAGCGAGAAGGTCACCAGAAGACTCAGTGTCAGAAAAAACAGCTCTTGGATTTATAGTATATAATTCCCCAAGACACCCTATAAGTTAATGAAGTCTGTGTGAGAGAACAGGGAAAACTGTCTCTGAGGTAATACTAGACAATAAATCCTTACAAGCAATAGGCAGTCCAACTAAAACTGTCTGCACAAGATTGTCAGCTCTAACCACAGTACAGGCAGTGCAGCAGTTAAACTGCATGTGAGAGGACTCAGTAGTTTTTTACCACTTCAGCAGAAAACCATCTTCATCTGTGGAAAAACCCAAATGCTGGTGATTTCAGAGTTAGCACTGGTCCTATTTTTCTCATGAGAAGCTAAGACACAGAGCAGCACCTCTGCAGAAAAGGGCCTCCAAGGGAAGCCTACAGAGTTAAGAGCATGTGATTCTGATCAAGACTATTCATTGATAAGCCCAACATGACTGATTTTATCTTATTACAGTGCAACCAAATCACTTTTTGTTTTCTCAAACAGGCACACTAGCAGCATGACAACGTTAGATAACATTCTGCTTCTGGTATCACGTTGCCATTCACTTGCTCCCCGTGGGCTCCTATCAACAGCTTCTAAACACTCCAACCACGCTGTATTTCAGAAGCAGGTCCCAGCACTGTGGCTGTCCTGTCAACAATCTGCTGCAGCCTATGCAATGTTTTCCCTGAACATTTTTTCCTTAGCTATTCTTTTTAGTACAACATAACACAGCTGCTAAGTCCCTCTCAACAGACAATTACTGATCTTGTAGGATCAATCATCTCTAACCTGATGTTACAGATGGTAACATCAGAAGGTAAAGCACGGTAACAGCAGTAGGTGATCCAGAAGCAATATTCACAAGTGTGATTAGCAGTGGGGAATAACACAAAACAGAGGACCAAGAACAATCCTTAAGCGCTGTTGTGCCTAGCACTGACTAGCTAGAACGATACAAACAGCTCTTCTCAAATCTCCATTTTCTTTTACCTCCATTACACACTACAATGCATCCTCTAGTACTGCTTGGTTTTACTCATATCTGGAGTTCACCTATCACAACGAACTGTGGCCAGGTCCAGTCTATGCCGAACATCCCTGCTGTTGTCCTCCTTGCTTTGCTCTGTCAGTATGTTCCGAAGTTAAGCAAACTCCATAGCACCATCTTGTGATAAGAACCACCAAGTGCAAGGCTGGCATTGACAATGGGGTGATCACTTGAGGCCCCTCAAATCCAGAGGGTTTGTGTCCCAGTTATGAGCACTAGCTGCTGAGTGCTCAGTACTGGAATAGTCACAGACCCACCCTGCCACCCAACAGTTCTGCCTTGGTTACAGGAACACTGACCTCCCTTTACAATCACAGACAGCAGCTTCTGCTAAGAATCAGGCCTTACGTATGTGAAGTCCTCAGTTCAGAAGAAAGATACTGCTTCAAGGAGTGTCTAAATTCAAGCAGACCTTTTAAGAGTAAGAGCATAAGCACTCCAGAACATATGCTCAATGGACAACCTTCCAGTATCTGAAGGGGGCCTATAGGGATGCTGGAGAGGGACTCTTCATTAGAGACTGTAGTGATAGGACAAGGGGTAACAGGTTAAAACTTAAACAGGGGAAGTCTAGATTGGATATAAGAAGGAAATTCTTTCCTGTTAGGGTGGTGAGGCACTGGAATAGGTTGCCCAGGGAGGTTGTGAATGCTCCATTCCTGGCAGTGTTCAAGACCAGGTTGGACAAGGCCTTGGGTGATATGATTTAGCGTAAGGTGTCCCTGCCCACGGCATTGGGGTTGGAACTGGATGATCTTAAGGTCCTTCCCAACCCTAATTATTCTATGATTCTATGACAAGGCAAAACAAAGTCATTGGTGAATGTCACTGCACCCAGGTGAGCACACTGATGAGAAAGCTGCCAATAATACTCATGTTACATCATCAATACTAACCTCTTCTACCTTGGTTTCTGTTACATATTAATATTTTCCCCCTTCAGATTTGATGGGGGTTTTGTGTGTGTATAGTGGTTGGGTTTTGTTTGTTTTAACAACATGGAATCTCAAAAAAAGCCAAATGCTGGGCTCACCTTGTTTCAATTTAACAGATAGCAAGAAAAGATCTTATCTGTGTGGTCTGCACAAAGCAGAGTTCAGAATCCAGCCTTATACCTCACCTACTAGACCACAGAAGCAACGTGCTGCATTACAAGGATGTCAGTGGAAGCCATGGAAATCACTGGAAGAAGCATTCAGATCTAGGAGTCTATCTCCAGAAAGGAAAGACAAGAGTATTGAAATGGCTGCCTGATTACAAGGAAGCCAGTGCTATGCTCCATGGATGGCATCTGCAATAGAGTGAGCAGATAAGGCAGGGAAAGCACACTCTACAGAAGCCACATTTGCTTTCTATCCATCATCTCACTTCCAGTGCTACAATACACACAACCTTACATAAGCAGCCCTTTAAGCTGCTGTACAAACATGGACAAGTCAAGAACTGTGTTACACTGAATGCCAGTTTGTTTCGTCTCATAATCACATTTGTTTCCCTCTGTAGAAACTGAAATAAGGGGGTCTACTTTGACTAATAGTCAGCAATTCTGGAATTCATTTCTAGTTCTGCTTCTGAACACTCAAGCCTGAGGAAAGAAGGCAAATCTATCAAGATGTCATGCCCAGCTCAAGCACTGAGAGCTGTGCAAGTACCAGAAAATTACTTCCACATACAAGTTCTGATGGTCAAACCAACACGAGAAGGGTCATTTTCCAAGAGTTATTCCTAGGAGCCCACTGAGGAAAAGCAGCAGTGTGACACTGACACAGTGCAGAACCATAGTTTTAGTTTACGTATTTTAAATCATCATGTGTTTGAAGTTGTGGCATTATCTTATGGCACGCAACAGAAAAGACACTACAGGTTACTTGCCTTTTCCATCTGTTGCTGAAGCCTCCTGTAAATGTCTTATTGACCTGAAAAATAAAAGAGGGGATTAGCTATGAGTTTTACTCTCTCTTTTCACTGCAGCCCTCTAGAACACTGAGAAGCCTTGTTAGCTCTTTATGACTGGGGTATGCTTGTAATTAGCTGTGCTTAGCGTGCGTGGCACTGCATGTATTTCACCCCCATCTGGTGTGAGGCGTCCCTGCCCATAGCATGGGGTTGAACTAGCTGATCTTAATTCATAGATTCTATGATCTCCCCAGCTCAGGCATCTGTATTTCCTTGTGATTAAGAAAGCTGATTGCTAAAACCTATTTCAGCCTACAGAAAGCTTTGTGGGAGGGAGAGAGCAGAGTGAGAAACTAGGGCATTTTCCAACATAATGCTTTCCACTTCCACAATTAAGCTGAGCTACTACTCAGAGTCCTGCCTAGTATTTGGCATCTTATTGCTCTTTTAAGCTCTTTTCATTTGGATAGTTGGTTACAGCTTGTATGCCTACACAGGCAACTTATGTAACAGAAGCTACCCTGCAGGAATGTAAATTCAAGGGCCAAGCCTTAGTTGCCTTGTTCATGAGTCAGCCCACCAGCTGCAGCAACATTATCCAGATGAAAAAGGGACACGATTTTACGTCCTGGGTTTCTCTGCCAGTTTATGTTGGTACCATGACAATGCAGCAACAGTGGCTACACACTATACAGTTACATGACAGCTCACTCAAATGCAGTTGTTCTTCAGATACAGTTCTTTTATGGGAAGCAAGTTCTGTACCTGGATATCATTAGGTATGATGCATAAATTCTAGCATTAGGTCGTAAGAGCTGTGACTGTATAAGCCACCTTTACCACAAGAAAGCTGAGTCTGTCTACAAGGGACGTTGGTATTCCTGCAGATTTATTTACCATGTCCAAATGCTCTTAAGAGCTGCAGCATTTTGGATGGAGTAGGGGAAGGGATAATTAGGTAGTGTATATTTCTTGGAAGACATTTTCCAGCCTTGGCAGAAGGCTGCCAACACTGTTGTTACGATTTTGTCCTTACACAGAGGACAACTGGGTATGAGGACAACAGAAACCCACCCTTACAAGCCAAGCTGAAGCTTACTTCTGCCTATTCAGCAACATGTATTTTGTCTTTATACAGACACACAAACACATGCATTATGAAACAGTTCACAAACACTCAAGAGTTACACTCTAGAGTGATGACATGTTTGCTAGACATTTATATTCACTCTGCATCTCAGAAAAATACTGGAGAAAATAGCATTATGTGTTTACTAACCAAGAAGCCAGAAGCTTCTTCATATCCAGCTGTTTATCCAATTAAGACTAAAATGAATTTAGAAGATAAATGTTCTGGCTAATTGGCAAGAAGCAACAATAGTGTTTATCTGAATTATCTGTGTTTTGGTTGAGTTTTATATAACCAACATTATTCCTTGCCAAGTAGAGTGGACGGAAGGGCAGGGAGATGCTTCCCAAGGGATTATTTCTTCTAAACAGTCAAGTAAAAAATGCAGCCACTCTGCTTGAAGGCAGCACTGCTCTTAGACAGCACTACTGGTTTTAAATCTAGCAGCCTAGTTTCCAGCCTCAGCCAGTAAAGCAAAATCCTGTTTGTCATTGTAAGAGTTAGCACATCTGCAGAACTCCAAGTTTCAAAAGCACTGTGCTGGCCACACTTAAATCATCACCCACCTTACCTTATCTTCACTTTAACATCCCCAGAACAAGCATGCTCCACAGACAAGGCTGAAGTGTTAAGACACATACAGTTTAAAGCTTGACTCTAAAGGACTGGCTTTTTTTTGCTTTGGCAGCAATTTAGCTCTACTTAGCAGTCCATATCCATTAATTCTGAAACAGCTCAAGCCATAAGGACTTAAAAACCAAGGAACACATAGAGTGACTCACCATACCACTGGAAACAAGATGGCTCCACAACATAGCAAGTCTACCAGGAAGAGAATTTCTTTCCACAGCCCATATTCAGTTGTCCCCTCTTCCGTTGACTCTATGATAATGTATGCCACATTTGCTAGCACCTACAGGACAAAAACAAGTTTAATGGTTTTAGCAGCTTTCCAAGGAGATACTAGATATAGGCTGACAATTCAGCAAAAGCTGTCACACAGTTGCAGAAAGAGCCTATTCAGTAACATCAATAAGCCTACTGCAGCTCTGTGTCAAGAAAGTCACATATTCAGCAGCATCTGCATGGGATTTATAGAAATGAAACTGATTAGAACTTATTTCTACTGACTTCAGAAAGTAGTCCTTTTTGTTATATGCTATGCTGAATCTACTGTATCAGAGATAAAAAGAGCAAAACCTATTAAAATAAACGGGACACATATAGCTAAACTCACTATACTCAATTAAACCAGTAATTCAAACTGGACACTGACTATGTTTGAGCTCCACAGCTGAGCTCTAAGAGCCTCAAACAGTAAATCTATTTCTTGTTTTGCAGTTCAGTAAGGGACCCCATCTGGAAACAGCAGAAAAGCTGTTCTAGCTACAACAAGAAAGAGAAGTGCTGCCCTCCTATGTACTTCAGTTCCTGGAACAGGAGACAAGTACTGATCACTTTAAACATGCTGGAAAGGTTTCCCTAGACCCAGCAAGCCTAAAAGTCCCCATTTCCCCCCCGACCTTCTTTATTTCTTAAGCCCATTCAGCAAGCATGTCAGAAGTGAAAACTTTCATTTATTATCTCTGCTTAGTACTGTTCTGCAGCCCAAGTTCTGCACCAGCATGAATAAACCTACCTCATAGCTAGTTGTTCATTTGCTGACACTATTTGTTCACCATTATCTCACACTCAGTATAGGGAGAAAAGTGTAATTTAGGGCCCAGGAAATCCCAGCTCAACTTTATTGTAACCAGGAGAATTACAAATGCAGTAACTACACGGTACTTGGTAAAGGATTCACAGCCTTATACAGCTCGTAGGAGCAGCTCTCCCACAAGGCAGGAAGTACAGCTCAGTCCTCACCTGAAGTGGGATGACAATCATGAAGATTTTTTTGTCTTTATCTGACAGGATGTGTTTAATGAAAGCCCAGCCTGTGCCTATCAGAGCAATAGTGATGAACAGAAGAGCACCCTTCAGTCTGAAAGAGAAACAGATACTGCAGTAAGACTTGATCCCACTTCCTCTTCTGCCCAGGTTCTCTTCTACAGTCAGTGAAGCCACAAGCCCAAATAAATGCCTTGCTATTCATAATTTTGGCAAGTGCTTATCCTACAACAGTGAAGCAGATGTATTTGCTTACAACTGTGTATCACAGCAGCATTATGCTCCATTCACAACTGTCAATATACACAATCTTTTCCTGGGGGAGTCAGCCATTCACCACCCTGAACAAGAGAAAACACTTGCAGCTGTACCCTCTTACCATTCACATCAAGAGCAAATTAGATACTTGAATATTGCTATGAACAAAGAAAAGCATTGCTTATCCTTTTACTCTTCCACCGACATAAGTGCCAATTCTCTGCAGCTGCCCTTTGTAAGCAGAGCTTTCCCCTTCACACAGGGCTGATTGTTGTCTTGTCATTCAGACCATAGTACCAAAAAATCAGCAATTTTCCAGTTTACTCAGGAGGTGGCAGCCCCATGGGGAATTCAATTCCATTGTCTGAATCCACCACAAGCTGCTAATACTCACAGGTGAGTGATGTAATAAACAACAGCCCAGCCTTCAATAGGGAATCCCTGAGAAGAAATGTAGTGGTAGTCGATCTGGAAGCAGAAAATACAGTGTCTTACTTTACAAGCTGCTCATCAGTACCCCATCCATGTCTATAAAATAGGTCTGCTTGACAGCCACCTCAAGTTTCATTTTCCAAATAGTGTGTGCAAACTCAGCTCTTCCTAACTTGTTCTAGTTTTGTTTAGCAATAATGAGGTAATTTTCCAAGCATTAGTGGATATATCTTATACAATCTATTTCCTTCCCACACACCTCCCACACTTAGCTATAGTTAAACAACTGCATTTTAAACCTATTTATTCATTCATTGTTCAACTTCAGTTGCACTGGGTGACTAGAGGCTTTCTAGTTTCATTTTCATGGGAAATGAGATTCAGTTCATTAGACTCCAAAAATGTTTGGAGCGGTTATCATGGCTGGCACAGTCACTGAAGGATTAAAAGCTTGCCATTACCTTTGTTTATGAGCCCTTTCCAGGGGAAAGGCAAAGTCAACACAACCCAATAGAGCCTTTTACGTATTGAAAGTGTTAAGGCTTACAGCATTATGTCTGTTACAGTACACCATAAATATTTCATCTAAAGTAGTGCCCTTGAATTCTACAAACATTCGTTCTATTTATTAACATTTATAGCAAGCCACGTAGCTGAAACACCACAGCTCAAGCTTTCAGGCTAGCCTCAGATGGCCAAAATGTTAGAACTCCTGGAACCCTCAATGCATGCTTGCTGCCTCATCACTTCAGGCCGCAATCTCGATTATATTTAAAGTCAGAATCTGTCGATGAAAACTGAATTAACCAAACAGCTGCAGTTGAGTTCCAATGCTTCAATATGAAAGACACTTCTCTCCCTCCCATTCTTCCCCCACCACAAAGAAGATTTCCCTGACAGCATGGCCTGGATTCCATGTTTCTATTTCCTTGCTGAGTAACTGAAGGCAGAGACATACGTACTGCATGAAAGACTAAGGACAGAGATTTTGTGAAAGGGAGGGCTGCCATCAGCCAGTGAATCTTAAACACATCATTTCTGTGGAGAAAAAAAAAGGAAGAGCATCAATTAGAAGCCAGCAGTAATAATTCCAGTTCCCAAGGGTATTTCTTTAAAACCTATAAATATCAAGCAGTAATTCCCAGGCTGAGCTGACTATTAGTGTAAAAGGATTCCCTTTAATGCTGCAGTCCAAGTTTTGCAACATTCTGAACAACATTTCAACTACATGCTCTGCAGCTCTATTTTTAACACTTGGGTTATTTAAAAGTAGCAATTCATAGGAACATCTTGCCTATATAGACCATAACTGTTTGAAAACTTGCTAAACATAATTCAAACACGTATCACTCCACCCCCAAGACTCTACACCACCAAGTGAACTCCAGACTCACCAAAACAACATCACCAACTGACCTTCAAACTACCAAATAATCTGATCACCAAGTGAACCCCAGGCTGCCAAGTAATCCTGCCACCCAGTGAACTTCAGACTATGTCAGAAGAAAAACCAAAATGGAATCACAGGTGCTTCTGTTGCTATGTTTTAACTATGAAGAAGCATGGTTTTCAATTAGGAATTCCTACCACTTTCAACCACTAAATGTTTATGGCTCTCCACTGCCATAAACTGCCATTCCCCGTACAAAGAATCCATTGATCAAGTTTTTCTTGTTATTTATTTTCAAATAGTGTTCTCCTTTTGTCACCAGCTACAGGAAGTTTCCTGTTTATTTGCTGCTACAATATATGAATTTCTTCACATAATACTTGGTAACTTCAGAACAATGGTCTGCAACCATGATACTGATGGAAGTAGTTATTTTCAATATAAGCTGTATGTGTTAGGCAGACAATATTGAGCCAGATTTGGAGTTTTAAGTGATGAAATCTGACTGTGAATTAGGCATTATATAAGGAATAACACCCCCACCCCCAATCAAAGAAGGTACACCTATACATTCACTCACATTGAAGCAGTCCACTTACCTGCGCTTACGAAGTATGTGAATCCATACAGTCCCAGACAGGAAAAAGAAGATAGCCATGGAAATGTAAAGCTTTGGCAGTGGGATCTCACCTGCTGAGAGGTAGCTTTCAGGATTCTTTTCCGTAATTTCTATCTGAATATTAAAGGTGTGTTATATGTACAATTGAAAACACATTTTGCTAAAGCACGGAGTTAGCAATTACAGCTCACCATCAAATTCACTCATTTCAAATCAGCTTTTCTAAAGCAGTGACTGTTATAAGACTCTTAAAGCAACTCTCCATCCTCAAGAATATCAAAATATTTTGTAAAATCACACCCAAAATGATAATTTCCAGAGAAGGACAGCGGTTCCTTCCAGTGCTTCTATTATACAAATAATTCAGGAAGGCAAAGTAATTTTCCCAAAGAATACTTGTTCTCTATACTAAATGTCAGAGCTTGCCCATCTTTGACATAAACAGTATCTAAAAAATCTTGCATAAACAAGCAGGATTTTTAGCACAGTCCTGATTTTAGGTGTGGAGAGTCATACACAGCTGAAAACCCCACTCTCAGGTTTACTACAGTGGATTTCTTCACCTGGCAAGAGAAAGGAAGCACTCTTCTGCAAGCCTATTAACGTGTGAGAAAACAGAAGCTTTATTTAACATCCTATTTATGCCCTAAAACAGCTTGGTTATACGTGCTAGGACTTCATTAAAATCATGCATCAAGACTAGTTTGCAGTACTTAAACTGTCCTGCACCAACAAATACAACCAAGCAGGTTAGTTATCCAGGTTTTCTTTCCTTTCCAATTTCTTCAGCAGGTCAAAGCAGCAAACAGCAATTAAAAAGAACTGGTCTTCAGAACATAAAACTTTAGAAGCAGATTTAATGTAGCCTAGTCTGAGCTAAATTAGGGCTGCTAAGTTTTATCACCTACATGTTTCCTTGCTTTCTCCTTGCAGCAGTATCAGCACACCCATGTAAAAAGGAACTCAAGGGCTGATCTGGCTGAGAGTTACCTTGGTCAATAAGGGGATTTGTTACAGAATACCTCACTACATATCAGTGTCAGAACAGGAAAGAGAAAAAAGGGAAAGCCTGAGCTGTGATAATGCACTCTGCTTCAAAAGAACATAGGACCGAACCCTTGAATGCTTAAATGGGATAAGACATTTGTCTTTAAGATGCAGTTCCAACACTGCAAAACATATCTGTAATTAGCCCAGAAAAGTCAGAAACACTGAATCCACAAATATCAACAATTTTGATTGCAGCAACAGCCTTAACATCTGCAATTGTGTAAAGAAAAAAAGCGATTTTTTGAGCACAGCAAAACACAAACAGCTGGTTTAGCTCCCATCTCATTACAGCATCTAGTCACAACTGCGTAGACTGAGCCCAGCTCACACGCACTCTTCAGACTTCCAGACATTTCTGCTAAACCAGTATTTCAATGATTCTTACTGTAGTTGCTTCCTTCAGAAATGCCACTACAGAGATTAAATGCACAACTCTGAACCACTCCCCACCCCATATATGCACTCATGTGTTTCATACTCATGGATATAAAAGCCAGAATTGAAAGCTGCATGTTTCAGTCTAAGTGAATGAGTTGATTATCCTTTAGAAGCTATACTCACATCAAGACTAAATAGCTTCTGATCATTGGCTGGCCCTTCCTTGCCAACACACTTATGGAAATACAGGCTGTAGAGACCTTCTTGGTTATCAGAGCTGATGTTAAAAAAGAACTGGAAATGAACAAAAGGAAAGTTAGCATTCTTTTCATTCACAACAGGGTTGCCCTGGTAAGAAGCCATCTCTGCTGAAGCATGAAACATGTCTGCCACTGAGGGTCAGTTGTTCCTTTCAGAGGATACCAGCATATCGACAGAATTCCAGATGCAAAATCATTGCACCTATCTATGATTATACACTCTGGTAATCCGAGATCTTTATCAAAGACCTTTAGGTATCAGTATTTAACTTAGTTCACTGAAAAGATACCAAGAAGTATCATATTGAATCATATATCATATGATGAAGCACAAAGTTTTGATCGTGTTTGCCCTGGAGCAGCTACTCTGTTCTTCCTTCAATTATACAAATTGTGATAGCTATGCAAATGAGATTTGTGTCACATTACAGATTTAAAATGAGTTTGTTCTATAGTAACCATCATCAGTGAACCAGTCTGCTGAAACAAAGTGTTAATCTGGTTTCATACAGATTATCTTCCCCTGAAGTGAGTCATCAGTCAGGCCACAGCTATTTGTCGTTAGCAATCTGTATGCACTAGCTGTATCACAGTAAACTTCAATATGCTGAGGCTCACAGACTGAGACTTTTAGAACTGCACCATCCCAAAGGCACTTCAAAACGGCTTCCACACCTTACAAAGAAAGATTTCCAGCATTTATTTTTTACAAGCATCCACTGAAAAACTTCCTGAGCTATCAGAGGCATCTCTGACAGACTTCTACTTTTCACACAGTAATAAAGTGAAAGAGCACACATTAAGACCAGACACTGACAGACACCCTACCTGAAACGAGAAAGTTCCTCTGTCATTGTGAACAGGATGTTCTTGCTCTATTATGCTCTGGGAAAAGGAGAAAAGACTTTCAGATTGAAGCAGCTATCTCCATCATCCAGACAATCAAAACTGCATTTTGTGTATTTACAGCGGAGGAAGGCTAAGGAAAACACAACACTCTCCGCTTTCTGGCTATGCTTACACTGGAATAATCACCAAGGTTCTTTCTGAAAGAGAACAGCAGATAGTTCCTTACCTGGGAGGATGATGTACTTCGATTGGGCTTGTTATCTAGAGATAAAAGTATTAATAGTACATTTAGAGTGTTTGCATTTAGACATCCTTTTACACATTGCAAATGCCTTACTCAAATCTTTCTAATAGTTGTCTGCATGTCAGTCTCCTGGATAATCATTAACAGGGATTCTTTTCCAGACTCTCCTTAAACTCTCCCAGGACCTCCCCCAACTACCATTCATACTGAATGCATCCTCAAATGCTAGAATCAGCTTCTCTACTATCAACCCTTCTACAAAAGCCTACCCAAGAAATATTTCCAACCCCTCCAATTACAGTGATCCAGGAGGCAGATGACCTGTAACAGATGCAGGCTACAGCTATGACTGTTAATGTTATGACTACATTCTGTTAGTCTCACTGACTAATCTTAATCTGGACATTAATACATGGCCTGACAAACACCCTGAAGTTACAATTAGCCCTGGGGAAGGAAAAAGTTCTCAGCTCTCTCCTAAGTAAAGCCCCATTAAAAAAAAAAAACAATCAAAGAAAATCCAAAAGCAGAGGTGACCTTTGCCAAGTCAATCTCTGTTCTGAACTTGAGAAACTTATACTGACAGGAAGCTTCAAAAGAGCAGCATGTCAAATTCAATTTCACTCCACTTCTTTGAGAAGCTTTTCAAACATAAGGTCATCGCATTCTACCAGGAAGCTAAAGTTCAAGACTTCAGCTTTGCTTTTGGCTCCTGTACCTCAGTGCACTGTCAACATGCACGCTACACTTTTTAATGCAAGAAAAAGCAAAACTAGAGCCATCAGATCAATCATCTTCAGTGCCACCAAGCTTTAGCTCTTGACTTGTTAGAACAACCATGCAAATGTTTTGACAATAGTAAAAGGCTTGTGAACACGACAGGCCAAGACAGACTCAGGCTACTTCAAATGAGGCTGCTCAGCAGTCCCAACCCCAAAAATGTGACCACAACACACTGCTGGATCCACATCAACCAGGAACTCTCAGTGACAGCACATATAGGTCAGGTTTAGCAGGCCTACCTTTGCTGTCTGTATCTGGGCTGGTCTTTGACGGACTTTTATCAGAATCACTGCTCTGTTCAGAAGTTTTTAGCAGCTTGGTGCTTAATGCAGTAGCATTTCCCTCAGATATGAATGAAATTTTAGGTAGCAAAGAAGCAGCTTCCGCAGAGAACTGTACTTTCACACTAAACAAGTAAGACAAAGAGGTTTTATTCCAAATTAAAATAAATAAACATTCATAAAGAGGCTGTCATAGCCTACATATACCAAATAAAGGAAAACCAACTTGTTTGGTTTTTTTACCACAGAGAACAGACAAGCACCAGATCATGACTTAAAGCAACCTGGCATTGAACTGATCACTATGGCAAAAGTCACACCGTATCTTTACATCAAATACAAGAGCAGCTGAACAAAAATAAGCTTATTCAGTTTTGGTAACCAGAGTCTCATTAGACATTATGTTTCCACACAAACAGTTACAGTTGTTCTTGCAAAAGAAAGCAATGCAGCCTCAAAGGTATTTCCATGAAACTCAAGATAATTCAAGACAAACAACAAAATGGTATATCCAGTGTAAGAGCTGCAAAAGTGACCCAATACTTCAAGTTTATGCCTTAAGCACAATTAAGGTATCATCCTTCTGCCTATGTCCCCTATCCTGCAAGAGTTCTTGGACCATTTTATATCACAGATTTTCTTTTCTTTCACTTTCACCACCCCTTAACTCTCATGTAACCCATTAAAAAATAACTACATACACAGCAGCTTTCCAAGCCTTTAAGAAAATTTCACAAGTATTGCACTAGCTTGAACTGAATAAATAACTTTAAAGTGTAGAGTATACTATTTACTCACACTTCAGTTTTGAAGTCCAGAAGTAAGAGTACAACAGAGACATCTTGATCTGGTTTCTTGTTCAAGATACAATAATCCACTTCTTCATCCTGGTAATAGAAGGAAAACACCTTTGAAGTGCACTCCTGTTTATAAGAAATGGGACATGTTTCCCCCCCACTCCATGTAGAGATAACTACTCTTAGCTCAGCAAGTTGTAAAACTGAATTATATTTAACAACTTGCCCATGCCTAAAGCCTCTCCCTTTTATTTCTTCCAACCATTCCTGGAGTAAGGTTAGCTATGAGATGTCCCCAGCTTAGAAAAGCAAATTCACATCTCTTACCAGGTAAGTGGAGAACCCATCGTTCCTGGTTCGATCCAAACTGAACCCCACCTACGAGACAAGTAAGAAGAATCTGTCAAATTAAAACCAGCTCACATTCCTGTAGTATTAGAAGCCAAATCACCACAGAGTCAAAGATACTGCTCTCTAAATAAATTAAACTACATTTAAGGCAGAATCCAGGTATTTGTGTCATTATCTAATTAGACAGAAAAAAATACTCAGCTATAATAAACTTGCTGCTTTATCTACATCCACTAAGAATAAAATATTAGTGGACAACTAATATCCTGAATTCACCTAAAGTACCTTCTGCCCCTGAGACTTTTAACTTATATCAGTGTTTTTCCAGGTGTTTCTGCTTGAAGAGAACATTTATTGCTTTCAGAAAGAAAGAGGTTGAACTGTGCCAAAGAGTAAGAACACAGGTCTATTTTCTACCCTAGTATTTCAGTGTCTCTATTAAAATATAATGTGCTATATAACGTATAATGCAAGAGTCACCTAAAAATGAGACAGTTACTGTCAGCAGTAACACTGATCCTACTATCACCAGTTAGGATCTGACACCTCAAACAATGCATCCAGTGCAAGGGCAATTTCATATTAAGCTTAACACAGTTATTGGACTCAGAGTAACTTACTGATAAGCGGTCCTTGTCATCAGAGCTCACAGGTGGCTTCAATGAAAGGTTACTGACATTGACTTTCATGAAGCCATTCTTGAAGAAACCAAAGGTATTTAGGTGCACTTTCTGCCTCACATCATCCTGTAAGAAAGGAAAGTTTACAATTCACATACACAGTCATCTGCAGCAGCAGTCAAAGAGGAAGCAGGACAACAGATATTGACACTTACTCAAGTGCAAAACATCTGATCATACCAAGAGTAAATTTCTTTAGAATACCTTTGGATATAATTGATCATTTCACTGGAGTCAACCAACTCTTCCAATAATCTGGACAGCAAGAACTTTAAACATATATTTGCTAATTACCTGGCTACACTGCTAAGAAATATACAAGAAAAAAAGGTCTGGAAGAGATTAAATGTTAGGCATCACTGATTAAACAAAATACTGGTAGGAAAAAGATAGACTATAGACAAATTAAGACAACTAACAACTACTGCCTGACTGCTAACTACTGCCATTGCAACAGACTGCACAGGAATTAGTGATTATAGTCGTCTTACCCAACTGAGAGCTGGGTTTTGCTCACGTGATAAACAAATATCACAGTGCACTGTTATCTCACAAGACCTTCTGTATTAGGCAGGGTCAGTGTTTGGACAAACACTTAACACACTAGAAAGCTCTGTGTGTAGTATAGATTAGAAAACTTCTAACATAGCCCCATTCCTCTAAATGATTTTTAGCAAGGTCTTGCATCTTGCAAGTAGGATAAATACCGAAACCTAGACACGTGTTTATTTCCTCTCAGTCTGGCAAAGAAATGTAGAAATTGATCCCTTTCCATGCCTTGCTCAGCTGATGAAGGTTCAAGTCCAATGAGCTCTTTTCTAAAGAAAGAGGTCATAAAGGACCTCACATAAGAAGCAGTAAACATTACACACAGTTGCACCATCAGATGATGAAAGGTCACACCCCTCTTGCTTTGCATTCATAAATCAATAAATAGGTAAGCATTTGGTCCTCAAACCTACTGGATCAATAGTTAGAAGAAAAGCAGCAACAGAACCAAAAATATTAAAAAGCAAGTTTAACATGTGATTTAAAGCTTTTACAGATTGTCACTAACAACAAGAAAATTGTTTCTTCTAGGAAAAATATAAACAGATTGCAGAACTCTCTAAGGGGAGAAGTCAGCTGCTAAAGGCAAACAAATGTTCTGGACAAGGTACTGTAAGACTGAACTAAGAGCTGTAGAAGTGTAGTAAGCTCTGTCTTTTCCTTCACCTCAATATCTATTTTGACATCTCTGCTTGCAACACTCCTGATGCACAAATATCACTCACTGTAACAGCAGGACACTAATCCTGCCACAGCTTACCTGCAGCTAGCTGCAATAAGATCGCCTTAATAGAATCAAGTTAACCTGGCAAATAACCAGATGGTTCCTTTAATGCTCAGGAGAGGGAAAAAAGAGTTGATGACACATGGCTCATAGCAGATGCTTCATTTAATAAGAGTATTATGGAGTATTATAGCTGTGCTGCCTTCATGTTCTAGGTCATTTAATGTGCTTGAAAAAAGAGCCCATCTGGTTCCTTTAACACCACTTTCAATATAATTTCTCAGTCTGAACAGAAGATTAATACAGCTCTTCACACAGCATATCACATGTATTTAAACATATCTGGACAGAGAAGCATTTCTCTGGGCGATTAGAGAGGAATATGAGCTGGGAATACAGTGGCATCCAGCCACTAAGTGTTTTGCACCTCGCAAATATGACCAGAGGCAGCTGCTTCGTTCAGAGTATGTGCAAAAGCTGCTCAGCTCAATTTCAATTTATTTACACTGCCAGTTTACTAATATTCTCCAACCAACAAAATATAATTAACATACAACACACAGACATTCCTCCCTGGTTTTAGTTCAGCTTTGAGTGCTTAGAGTTGACAGATTTAGTTCACAAATCCTGGAGCTTTACACGATCCCACACACAGTCACCAGTTGCCACCAAGCAACACCATGCTCTCCAGGAGCACCTACTGCTCCACATATCAACAGCCTAAAGATACTGGTTTACTAATGGTTGTCTCAGCTCTTAAGGGAGGTTTAACAGGTTGGGAGAATCCAGCTTTCATTTGTGATCACCCGACTGCTGACTTCAGAACATTCAGTTATAAATTTACAACAAAGTTGTGAACACTTAAGCATCTGAGCTGTTATCATACATGTTATGTTAATTTATGTAGGATGTATTTAAAGGTTAAGCCTGCCCCTTTGAGAAGGGATGAGCAGGGACTCATCACTAACAGGTTACAGTCGAACCAATAAAGTAAGTTCTCAGCTTAGTTCCATAAAAGCTTTCTCCACTTCTTCCACTCCTTTAGGATAAATATCAATCCTCCAACATTTGACTCAGATTACAGGAAAATGGTAACCCAGATCTTGCCTATTCTGGTATCCCAGGACAGGCAGAAAAATATCCTTTAACATTTTATTCAGAATCTAATTGGGATCACACTACCAGTACAGTGAAAGTTTCATCAGAGAGCGCCTACCCTTACACAGAAGGAACTGGATTACTTGTGTGAGACTAACAGCAAGACTTGTGTTTGTGTAAGAAACACAGAAAAAGGTATTAAGAAAGGTATTTTTACACTTGAGTATTTGAAGCCTGTGACCTACCGACATTAAAAGGCCACCAGTATTTACAACCAACTGCTGAAAAAGATCATCTTCCAAATAATACAATTAAACTGCCATCTTGACAGTATCACAAAACAGGAGAGAGCTCGCTTTCCTTTGGAAGTCAGTTATTTGGCAAGATAACTCACTTATCAGACTAACAGCACAGCTGCCACACAGCACTGTCAGTTGGATGATTCCTCTTGGAACCCTATATTGGGCTATTCGCAAGCGTTAAACTTAACTGCGTGCCTGACAAAGAAGTTGTTTAGATCAACTTCCTCATTCTCTAAGACAGTTTGCCATTGCATTACGCAAAACATAAGGCTTCACTATTAATGCATTTGACTGTTAAGACAACAAAAACCGTATTTTTGGTGAAGAGGAATGCTCCAACTTCCAGCTACCTCTGAAAGCTGCTGAAAATTGTTTCCATCAGTCTCCTGTAACTTCAGTTTTTGCAGTGTTTGGTTTTTAAACATATTTAATGAAGCTGATAACAACTGCTACTAAGAGAGTCTCCTTTGACAAGGTTAATCTAACAGAAAGATTCAAACAAAGAGATTTTATTACTCGGCAAAAATAAACCCTTTTGGATGCTTTTATAAAGATGAAAAGTTATTTTCAGAACAGGAAACTTCTCAGATTGCAGCTTGCTTTTCTGACAACAAAAAAAGCTTCACCTGAGCACACTAATTACAACGACACAAGAATTAGCCATTCTAACTAAAGCAGTAACGGCTTGTTTGAGGAAACCTAATATCAAACACTTGCACAAAGCTGTGGCCTTTGGCTTGGCACAGTGTCAAAGCACATTTACAAGCAAGGAGCCAATGGCAAGAACACTGGAAGGGAGATTTCATTGTGAAAGGGTGCAGTTGTTGGAGTCTGATGTTTACAGAAATGCCATAAAGCACTGGATGGAGCAAAAAGGGAGAGCCTGTGCTCTAACAATAAAGCTCACATTTACACTTCTGCTTTCCACAGTGCTCTGTAGGTCAGTGAGGCAACTCACACAAAACACGCACAGAACTAAAACCATACTCCAATCATAAAAATCAGCAAACACAGTTTAGTAATTAATACAGGCAATTAAGAGACACCCTAATCAGGACTTGAAGTTATAATGTTTGCTGCTGAGAACATTTGCTTGAGGCCAGTTTGAAAGTCTTCTATGTAAAGGAAAAGTATCAGCCCAGGAGAAATTCTTCCAGCACTCAATAGTTAGTCACAAATCCTCAGTAACATAACCAGCACAAACCTCCTAATCTATAGCTTCAGGGAACAGTTCACTTTTCCTGAAGCACAACAATATTAACGTGGCTGCACATTAGACAACAACTAATCTGGAAAACTCTCTATAAGTAAGTTATGAGCATCCCCCATGCACTCACTGTATCCCAAAGCTGAAGGGGAGCTCATGCAAGCGTTTGGCACTCTCCCTACGCTGCTACAAGAACACAGTAATGCTGCTCCTAGTCACACACGCTTTATTAACGTCTTCCAAGATTTCCATTAGCAAAATACTGTGTGATGTTGACAACAAGAACAAAATTAACAACCTCATTCTGAAGATTTACAGAGCACTTCACACGCTGTACATAAGTCCTTAAAAAGCACCACCCCTAATGCACAGATCCTGCCACACCCCAACCGCACAACTTCCCATTTAAAGCACAACAGACAGCAGCACTCGAGCTGCAGATCTTCACCACAACCTGCACCACTTCCCACCGCAACCCTGAAGAAGTAGTTTTTCTCAGGTACAGTCACAGAATGACACAACACTCTCTCAAAGTGCAACCATAAATCTATGAGACCAAAACAAAGAGTTGTCAGCATCAGTATTTTCTTCTACCTCTACTGATCGTCTGATTAATGCAAAGAAGCTACATCTGGAACAACATCCACCCAGCCTTTGAGTCGAAAGACCAGTGACCAAGGCACGAAGATTACTGCAAGGCACACATTAAAAGCAAAAGCAACCCCAAATCCTCTTCAGCTCATGTTCAGCCCCACACACAGCTTTCTGCCTCACTTCCAACAGGATGAGAAGCATTTCCACCTTCAACCCGCTACAGTTCTGATTCCCCCTCGCACATTTTCCGTATGACTAAGAAAAAGGAGGCCCAAAAAAAAAGCAGGGATGAGAGCTAAAGGGATGTGGGGAGAAGGGACAATAACAGGGAAAGCAGAACGCAGAGGGGCCCAGCAGGCTGAGGGGCAGGGGGGAATCCAGAGAGCAGAGAAGAAGGGCAAGGGAAGGCAGCGGGACGAAGCTGTAGGGGGGTGACGGAGAGCCCCGGCCCGAGGGAGGCGGAAAGAGCCAGGCCCTACCGCTCCCCTCAGGCGACCCGGCGGGTAGCCCAGCGCAAGCGGGGGCCGAGCCAGCAGGGCCGGGTGCGGCGCAGACCTTACTTTGAGGGTGAGGTGATGGACGCGGGCACCGGCTGAGCCCGCCCAGAGCAGCAGCAGCCCCAGCACGGCCACCGCCCGACACAGCGCGGCCCCAGCGCCGCGGGCCGCCATGTTTAGTCCAGCATCAGCATCCTCTTCCCGCGCCACTTCCGGGGTCACGGAGCGCCGCACGTGACCGTGGCGGAGCTGCCCCTCACCGTGGGCACCGCCGGTACCGGGCGCTCGTTTCTTCACCGGGGTTCATGCCCTGCTGCCGGCGTTCTGAGGCTCCCCGGCGCTTTCCTCTCTTCTCTAGGGCCCATCTGGGCTCTGCCGCATGTTCCCCACCCGGAGGCCGCCTCTCAGGGTGCGAGGGCTGTGGTGGGCTCCCTCCTCGCTGCTCCCACAAGGGGTCTCCGGCCACAAAGAAGCCCCCTCGAGCAGCCTTTGTGGCGGTGCTCAGCAAGGCCTAGGGTAAGGAGACAGAGCTGCGCTGTCCCCAGGCAAAAGCTGGAGTTCTTCCCCCCTCAGTTGTGCAGCACAGCTCACGGAGGGGTTAGGGTTATTGATTCCAGCTCAGAAGTGCATCACTTAAGAGGTTTCAGCTGCTTGCTGGGACCTGTGGTGAGAGCAGGTGTTCCAAGCATCAGGTAGTCCAAACAACTGAAAACCTTTCTGTTTAAAGCTGGGGTTTAAATATTAATTGCAAACATCATCAAAAAATACGTAAGAAAACAAAGGGATTTCTGCTTCCTTACAGAAGTAGCTTTGTGGCTATTTATTTGGAACTGATAGCTCAAATCCCACTTAAAAATGAAATGACAAGCAGATTGGGCCTGTCTTCTGTGGCTTGTTCAAACAGAGCAACACAAGAAGCAAATGAATAGCAGCAATTTAAAACGTCTTTTGAAGCTAACAGATTGCTAGACTGCCCTGACAGACTATGCAATGGGAAACTGTCAATACAATCACTATAATTCTACAGTGGGGTGGTTCTGTGCTGCCAGCTCTTAGAACTCAAACATTCTGATTTTCCCTTTCAGTGTATGGAGTAACAGCTGTGCAAGTTTCTTCACCTAGAGCCAAATAAACAACTGGATTGCACCAGGCAAGTAAGGTGCAAGTGATGGTGAAAAAGCAGATTAAAATCAGTAGTCTTGACTAATTAGCAAAATTATGTAGAATGTCCCATCTCTCCCCCCCCTTCCTTTTAATACTCTTAGGTAATAAAATAAGCACAGAAATGTCACCATCAGTCAAAGAAACCTGGACTGGTACCGGAAAATACCTGGAAGCATGAAAAAAATAAAATCCATGTTTCCTAGTAGGACTCAGGGCAGTAACTCGTGCATGCCGCTAGATGTCCTGTCAGCATCAAGCCTTGTAGTGCACGTAGCTGCATCACCCAGACGGTAAGAAGCCTACATAACTAATCATCAGATAATTTATTCTGAAAAGGTGACGCTAGTCCAGATATTTTATTTAAATTAATATTTTTTTATGTTCCAATTATTGTAATTCCTGTGCAAGGACCGCCTGGGAAACCTGGAGGCTTTGGGCTCCCAACACACAGCTGCAGCACAGGTTTCCTTTCACACCTTGTTCCACTAAGTATCCCACTTTTACTTGATAGCATGAGGCTTTCCCCTGTAACTATGGGGACTGGTTCAGCTGAAAAGCCTCCAGCAGTCTGAAGATGCTTCTTAAGAGCAATCAGGGATTCTTATCCCACAGAGTCTGAAAAATTCTGTTTTTTTTATGTAACTCTACAAACTGTTGGGATATCATACCAAGTTCACCACTTACCTGGACTAAATGATTTCAAAACCAGAAATTATAACATGCTTGCTTTCTTTGGCTATGCATTTTGTATATTAAAAGAATGTCTGTACTTAAACTTACATCTGTATCAATGTGCAAACTGGCTGCTTTCTGTAATGAATATGCTATAACACCAACACTCATCATTACATTTATACATTTCATTGTATCTTCCAGACAAGATTCACGCAGCTCTACATGTGCTGTTCCTAGCACATACAGTTATTCTCAGTTGCGATTAAACATATTTTTTTCTCTTTACTCCTTTGTTGTACCCAAACATCTAATTAGAACCCTTCACAGATTTATTTTCTTTTTTCCTCCAAGTGTATCATGAGCAACCATTGAGATTAGAGGGAAAACACTGGCAGTGTCAGAAAAATTCTGGCATAGGCACAGTCTACAGGTATAGCTAAGTACAGGGCAAAGTAGATTAAGCATCAGTTTGTTACTGCATGAGCTGTGGTATAAGCATGCCATGCAGTAGAAAGGGCTGGATGTTACCCAAGGGAGACAGACTTGGGAGGTGAGCACACTAACACAGACAACAGGGTAGGAGTCTCACCTTTCAGGGTCCACTCCCGCCAAGCAAGGTGAGGGGAGCAGGCCCACAGATAGTAGCTGAGGGCAGCTAAGAGTCCAGGTCATCAGGCAAGCTTAGAGCAATAACACAGAGCCAAGGCTGGGTTAAAAAGTCAATCTGCAGTTCGGGTGATGGCAACCAACATCTGACATATAGGGTAGCCATAGTTAGGCCTATAGAGCTGAAACAAGATCAAATATGAGCTAGGCTCCATATACAAAAGAACCCATAACTAAGGCACAGCCTACCTGGGGCTGAACCAGAGACTAATACCCCCACAGCATCACTCAAACAGAGACTGAGCCTTAGGCCAAAGCTTAAATGGGTTTCTGGGTCCATGGGTAGATAGTCAACAACTGAGGCTAGTCAGGGACATTAGGAGGTCTTAATCAGTCCTTAATTAGCCCTCTCTGGGCCCTGATAAGGCATTTAAAGAGCACCTAGGCCCCCTGCTGTGTGCTTGAATGATCTGTGTAGTATTTTAACAGGGGAAAGGAAACAGCTGTGATAGCCATGGCTATAGGGAAAGGTGTGTCTTCTTCCTTTCCTGGGGCTGTTTCTGTCCCAGTGTATGAGAGGTTATAAGCAGTATCTGTGTTCCTTGTCTTGGACATGGATGATCTGGGTAGAATTATAAAGCTAAAAAGGAAGCAGCTGTGAGGGTGATAACTCCAGGGGGGAAGGTAGGTCCTCTTCCTGTTGTATCTAGAAGCTAGAAATGCTTGTATGTTCTCTGGAAGTTTTGAGTTTTCCTGCTTTGCATGAGTAAACCCAGAGAAAAGGGTTTAGACAGAATTGTAGCTCAGGGGTTAAATTTATCTTTTCCAAGTATGTTCTGATTCATTTAGCAGCTAATCTGGCTGTTTTCAGGTGGGGTTGGGGTTTTCTAAACAAGTCCTGGCCTTCTAAAAAGAGAATTGCTTCTACTTGGGCTTAGGCTCTACCTCTGGGAGTGCTCTGAATCATAACAACAGGAGAGATAAACAGAGTATTTGCAGGAATAAGCCCATATCTGGATAACAGATCTACATGGTCTTGGCCTCAGTGTGGCTGAGAGAAAACTCCCAGCAGCTTCCTTGTTGCTCAGGTTTGGACTGTGCAGATTAAGTAAAGTGCCAGATAATGTAATTTTCAAGTGTTGTTTTAAATTATTTGTTTCAGGTGGGGACTTCCCAAGCCTTCGAGCATCTACTTCAGCATAAAAGGGGTTTTACTGTTCCCACTGCTGTTAATTACATTAGTAATTAGGGATCAACCAAGTGCAGGCTGTGCTGTTTTGGGCACTGTACAACTGAAAGCAATAATGTGTCAGTCCTTGTCTAGGAGAGTTTCAAACTAAATAATAGCCAAAATAGGAAAAAGTCTCATTGTGGAAATATCTGAAATTAATTTTATTTAGTGTTTGTCTTGAACATCTGTTCCCACGAATTTTATATTCTTTTAATACGTTCTGAATCACTTAGCAGCTAATCTGGCAGTTTCCTTAACTTTTCCTAGGTTTTGGCATGACTGATAGTGCCATCACAACACAGAACCTGCATTTCTGGCCTTTATCTTTCAGGAACTGGTGAAGCAGTTCTATCTTCTGGCATGGACAGGTTTCCCTGCCCGCGCTGGTGTAACAGGTTTGCCTTGTTCCCCTCCCAGCTCTTTGTGCAAAAGGAAATTCCACAGCGAATTTACCTCAGATGATACTAGCGCTTTCTGTTTGGTCTCTTACCTTCTTTTTACTCACATAGTTACGGATTAAGCTCTAAAGTCGTGATGTAACTGTGTTGTCTGGCTTTGCAACGTGTTCTGGGTGGACGTGGCTCTGAGGATAGAGGGCTTTGGTGCCCCTTCTCCAAAAGCCATGCACTGTTCCTTGGAACACTGTGGTTGTGCTTTAGGCAGTGTGGCAGGCTCAGACATTTAAATGTGTTGTTAGCAGCAGGAAGGAGCACTCTGAAATGAGCTGAACAGCGTTGTCTCTTAGTTGTTATGAAGTCTGCTCTTAAAAGTAATAACTTCTAATGATGAACAAAAGCATTGCCTGTTCCCCGTCTCTCTTCAAAGGCAGCTGCGTGAAGAGCAGCATTCTACTCGGGTTCAAATCGGTTGAGCCAGGTTAAAAATACATACAGTTCTGTTATTAACATAACACTTGTCTTCATTGTTGTTTATAAATGTTGGAATTACTTAATAAGTTATTCTGCTCTTGTCCTTTCTTATGTAGGGTAATAGCCAAGCCTCAGTGAATGAAGTGCATTAATCTACAGGGATTAATGGTCTTTATAGGAGCTCCTCTAATGTTATCTTTTGCCATCAGAAGGATCCCCACCCTCTATAAGCAGTTTTTCCTCAGATGAATAAACATCCTTAACTTTCCTTTCCCTGATGTATTTCATGAACAGATGAAGCAACGTAAAATACCCATCTAAAGCTATTTTTACATCTCCCATAGCTGAAAAGACAGAAATTTAAGATCAGCTGAAGTAACAGCTCAAATTCTGTTATAGAGAAAGATGAGCATAAACCAAATCTTATTTCTCTGGCAAAGGAATGAGCCATTTTCTGTAAGACCTGCATAATTCCTTACAATAACCTGTATTTATGCAAGAGCAGATAATACGGCTATTTTTCTGCTTGCTCACTGCGTTGGTGACAGATGGTGGAGTTAAATATTCCTGGATCTGGGTTATTTTGGGGTGTGTGTATTTGGGGAGCTCAGTTAAACTCAAGCCCTTGCAATCAGTCTGAAGGGCGGCTCTCCCCCTTCCCAATGATCACAACAGGAACATTTGCTTCAATAAAGAGCCCCACCTGGCTCAAGGAGGAATTGGGAACCAACACCTGAGGGCGGGGAGCACCTCCCTCCTCCCGCCGGCCCGCTTCGGAGCGCAGCGCTGCCTGTCCGTGCGGGGACCGGAGGGGAACCGGGGCAAGGCCGGAGCGGGCCCAGCGCCCCCAACGACGGACCGGGCCCGCGCTCACTGACCGGAGACCGCGCCTGCGCAGTGCCGGCCTCGGGCCCCCACCCCGCGCCTCGGGCCGCGCCTGCGCAGTGCGCCAGAGCTGTCAATCGCCGCCCCGCTCCGCTCCGCCACCGCCTCCCCGCGCGGCGCCGCTCGGGCCATTTTGCGGCGCGATGAGGCTGGAGCGGCGGTGAGCAGCGGCCGTGAGCAGCGCCCGGCCCGCTCCGCTCCTGCACCGCGCTTCCTTGGGGCCCGGCCCGGCCCGGCCCTCAGCCCGCGGGGAGCACAGGGAAAGGAAGCCTCAACCAGGGCACAAGCAGACCCCGAGAGCCTTCCCCCCCGTCCCCGTCCCCTCAGCGCCGGCCCTCGGCGGCGCGGCGGAGCCATGAGCTGGGGCACGGAGCTGTGGGTGAGTGAATGGTGGGGGGGAGCGGGACCGCCGTTGCGGCGGTTACCGCGGAGCGCCGCGCCCGCCCCGTGTCATAACGGTTCGTGCGGAGGGGCCGGTCCCGGTGCGGGGCTGCGGGCTCCGCTGTGAGGGGCACCCCGGGGGAAGGAGGGGTCCGGCCAGGGCCGCTTTCCTCAGGGGGTCTCCTCCTTCCAAGAACTTTGCTTGCAGCCTCTATGGGGAAATCCCAGCGGAGCCGGAGGAGTTGTGTTTGTTTTCTTGAGTGAAATACGCGTTAGAAGAGCTCCGCAGCACAAAAAGCGATCGCGGCTGGGAAGCGGAGGGAGGCTTTCAAAGCAAAGCCTGGGGTGGGTTTTGTATGTAGCTGCAGGAGAGGCTCTGAGGTGGATTTATATCCAAGGGGGTCCAATTTCAGGAGAGGGAGGTGCAGGGAAGAAAAGCCAGATGATAACATTTCCTCTGGCTGTTGTGAAGGGGCTTCTCTCCACGCTCGGAGAACGGAGGTTTCTGTTAGAAGAGTTTTCTGTTGGGTGTGAAGAAGTACGTTTTAATGGTGGGGAGGGATTCGGTGTATGAAGCCCTTAGGTTGGTTCTGGAGTGAGCCTGGGAAGTCTTAAATGCGTTTGGTTTACGGTGGAACGTTGCTGTGAACTGCCAAGCTGTTAAAAGTGGATAATGGCATTTGGAATGGTCCCTTGCTAACCTGAGAGAATTAAGGGTAGGGAAATGAAAGAAGTCTTGGAAGCAGAAGAGATACACATATTCAGTCACAAAGAGGACGTGATGCAGCCATGTTTGGTAGCGTGATGGTGGAGCAAAACCTGTTAGTGAGGGGTTGCGTAGTGGTCAGGAGCCTCTGCAAGCGATTGTTAATTTAATGGTTGGACATTAAAAATCTTTGGGCAAAATGTGCACGGAAAGGAGGTGAAGAGGAAAGCGTAATAGTGTTTTCAATTGAGAAGTCAAGAATGAGTAGCAGGAGGGTCATCTGGATTGCAAAGCACTGCAGGATTTTGCTCCTGTGCTCATCTGTCTGTGGTTCATCACCAGTGCGAGTTAAGATGTCAACGTGTCTGAGCTTTTAAACTGCCTCTATGTAGAAATGGTTATTTTAGATGTGCTAATTGTTGCCCTTTCTGGTTGCGTTGCTGGCAGGCAGCTCAAGCATCCCCTTTTGCTGTGACATTGTAGTCATGTTACAGCCAGATCTGGTTCAAACTAGACAGTAAATCAGGGAGCGAATGCTTACTGAGAGAGGTTATTGCGGTATGTTTGGATACTCCAGGGGAAGAAAGGTGATACATACTGATGAAATACTGTAGTGATGCTACATTGAATCATCAGTATATAAACAGCTCTGCTGCATGGGAATCTTCCTGGGAAAATCTGCAGTTTTCCTTCTTTTTTTTTTCGGCATTTAGGGTGCTTTGGAGGGGAGATGAAATAGTTTGGGTGGAATTAAAGCGTGAGTCAGTATAACAAGTTTGACATAAGAAAATAAGTTCTGAATTCTCCAGATGGACGTGGTTGTTTTATTCTTAAAAGCGAGCAAGTGATACCAAGGTGTTTCTTCACAAAACAGCAGTAGTAGAGAAGTGTTTATAAATAGTTCTTTCTGCTTCTTTAAATATTTGCAGGTGTGTGTGCAATCTTACATTCATCTTCGATAACAATACAAACTGGTTTTGTGACGCTTTCTTCCCCCTGAACATTTTGTTGGTGAAATTGTGCTCACCAGCATTGAAGTATTATTTTTTATGTCTTCAGTGTAGGACTTTGATAAGTGGTACAGGTTACTGAGGAAAAGGGTTGCACCAACAGATTAGATGACTCTAGGTATGAAATTGGCACGAGTTCCTTTCTTTTAATTGGGGTAGAGCTTTGAAAACACATCAGTGTCCAGTGCACTGGGTACTTAGGCCAGAACAGTGATTTGTCTCCTCATATTTTCCAGTTTGCTGGGGAAGGAAAGCACAGAAGTATCCTATATTTAATGTGTGCTGTTTCCTCTTGTTGATCATGGGATGCTTTTTAAGCAAAATTACATTTCCATTTACTTTAAGCTTATTAGTTGTTTCAGGTAGTCATGGGATGGGTGTTCAGGAACACATGGTGTAATCAGCTGCCTGTATGATGTGACCGGTATATAATTTGATGGAACCATTTGAAAGTTGCAGCAATAACAAGTGTGTTTCCAACAGTAGTTGAAAAATTTGCTGGAGAGATCAGCATTGTTTGATCAGGGTTGACTTGCACCCCGTGTCTCTGATGTGCTGATCTACCAGACTGGATTGAGTGTTCATGATTCACCCCTTTAAACTTAGCAAAGGAGGAGTAAAATTGAGCTTGTTCTTTAGAGCATGTAGAATGTTAATGTGCATGGATTTATGTAGAATTTCTGTTCATCCTGGAAAAAAAAAAAGCTGGTTGCAGAAAGCCTTATACTTCAGAAGCAATAAAATCCCTTCGGCAGCATGCAAGTTACTGCCAAGACAGACTTTTAGCCTTGTACTGTGATGTTCTGTGGATTCTGTGCCTCTGGCTTGCAAATCCTGTTGCAGAGTTCCTACTGATATTTCACTCAAATCTAGACTTGAGTTTCATCTTGAGCTTGGCACTGTGACTGTAAATGGACCCGTAACCAGCAGAATTATTAAAGGTATTAATGCAGCATTTATATCCTATACTAAATACTCAGGACAATGAGATCATCTGGAGCATCCAAGCAATCCAGTGTTACAGAGCAAAACCTTAAGGTCTTTTGTAACTGTCGATGGGTTTCCTTTGTGTAAGCATGCTGTACAGGGTGGCAATGGCTGAGCTGTGCAGTTTGTCAGGCTCCCCAACCCCTGCAGAAGTCTTGCTGTCCCTTACACTTGTGAAACATTCAGGAGCTGGAGGAAGAATCGGTGGGTGAGGGACAAAGTACAGTCATGTTGTTTTTCACCCTCGTTCAAGAGTATTGTTAAGGGCCAGCAGGTAGGAGAGAATTGTAGATAGTTATTTTATGTCTGATTCCTGGAATTGGTATCGTTTTCTAAATACTTGGCTAATGTATGTGGTAAGTGAAGATTGTGTACCACTGTACAGACCTGACTTGCACCTTCAGTTAACTATGTCTTGGGGACAACAGGCTCTAAAAGCATGCTCAGATCTCTTTCACTCTTTTCCTCTCTTGGGTAATGGGGAAGGACACAGAGCATGGCACACAGAGTTATTCTGAAGGGTGCTTTAGCTAGTAAAATGGTAGTGTGTGCTACGCTTCCCACCAGTGTCCTCTTGTGTGGTATGAAGCCCTCAAATCAAGTGGTAGGAATTACATGGCAAACTGAGCTAAAACTAACCACAGTCCTTTTCTTTTGAGTGGAAAAAGTCTGTGGCTGCATGGCTGGTATATTGAAGGGAATGATCTTTCTTGATGATGAGTTTTGGTACAGCATGTAGTTTGGGGGAGCTATGTGTAAATTTGTGGTTAAGTGGTCCAGGAAAAACTGCCTCCTCGGAACACTGCCGTGCAGCAAGTGCAAGTGGTAAAGTGATTAAATGTGGGAAGACTCATCTTTCTGTGATGAATGTTTCAGAGGTGCAGATGCTGTGGGTTTGGTGTTGGGGCTCTTTCCACATTTGGTGAGGCTTTAAAATAAAGGTGGAGGAGGATGATTAAATCAAGTTTTCTTTGACCTTTGTGAAGGGCTGGGTGGCTGCTAAAGCTGTCACTGTCCTTTCAAACTGTAAGAAGGTGAATATTCTGGATTTGCAAAGGGTTTATTTGATGCC